TGCCAAGAGTAAGAGGGATCCCCGATGTTTTTGTTCCTCTTGGACCACCTGGTGCACGTTGTGAAGTATCCCGTTGGATGTTAAAGTGAAGAAAAAAAAGGATGTATTTTTCTTTTTCATATTTTGAATTATTATTAGAAAGTTATTTTTAGAATAACTTTGTATTTGTATTTCTTTGTATATTACACGCTGATTAATATCATTTATTTCAGTAAAATGAAAAGCCCAACTAATGATAACCAATGAAGATTTAGTTTAGCCTGCCAGAATTATAATTCTTAAACTATCAAATTGTTAAGAAGTTTTTACTTCTGGTTACAGCAGGTAATATGTTTTTTTTTTTTTTTTTTTTTTTTTTTTTTTTTTTTTTTTTTTTTTTTTTTTTTTTTTAGATAAACATTACTCAGTCATTACTTTGAAATACCTAACTCTTATTCTGTTGCTACCTTATTGAAATTTTTTTTATTCCCAAGTAGCTAAGTACTTTGAACCAATGTAATAGTAACATAATATCTAAAAATTGTTAAATATTACATCAAATAACTACTATAATGTTTCAATAATATTACAAAAATTTAGCTGTTACACCATTATCACCAAGCTATGGAAAGCATTACTTAAACTTAATTCCACTATAGAAATAAATAAATAACTGTTAAGATGAATAACTATCCCTTATAAAACTGACCTTATGTGTGTCTGAATGTTGAGATGTTTTTTTGTCCAACATCTTTCTGTTCCCGTGTGATGGATTGGCAGCCTGTATGGGATGTACCCAGTCTCTCAATCATTGAGTGCTGCAGATAGTCATCAGTCATCCTGCAACAACCCCAAAGATTAACCAGGTGTGGAAAATAAACTGAGAGAAGTCTCCTTTGGAAGCAAACCATGAAGAACTAAGGGACAATTCAACATTTCTGCACAGTGAACAGATTGTGATGTGAACTCATGTCTTTTACTCACACAATGTCATTTAGTTTTTTAAACTTAGATTTTGTGTAAATGCATTCACCCTTATTTTGCAAAGCTTTTCAGTTACCTGGTTAAATCATGCTACTATCTGTAAATGTGTTGCATCTCTTTGTTAACTCTTTGTCATTGTGTTCCATTTAGTCTGAGTGTTTTGCTGTAGCAGTATTTAGAATAGGTTCAGTGGCTTAATGATTCAGATGGAGCCTTTTACCACTAGATGGTGTGGTTGTCTCTTCAGACTCACTGTACTGTACAATGCATTCCTAAGCTGAGTTTGAATGAGGAACCTTGATATGAACTCGTATTGTGCTTGACTCTGGTGTGATATATGTGCAGCACATATTTTGCAACACATACAAACAACAATCCTTCCAGGATTTGAACGTTTGAGGCTTGGATTTTCTGTGATAATGCAATGCAATCAAACCGACTGCAGAGCATGTGGTGCTACTGAGCAGTGATTTGTGACAAGCAAACAATCGCATTTGCTTGAAACTCCTTTTTTTACAACAAAGAGCTCACCCAGACTGAAAATTGGCTGAGGGGAAGGGGAGAGAAAAATAACTAAACCCTCTAAATCATCATCCAGAAACTGACTCATTCATATTTTAAACTCTGGCTACAATCCCTGCTGACAAAACACTGTAGAAAGAAAAAAGAGGAGCTGAACAAATGAGTACATGCTCAGGTTAAAGGGTTCACAATAACAGAGAGAGGCCGTGAGGATGTTGCACCTGCATGAGTGGCAAAGCTGCTGAGGAATAAAAAATACCCGTGCATCCATTTTCTATATCCGCATGCCCATCAGGCTCACAGGAGGCTGGCTGGTGCCTTTTCCCTGCAGAATTTGGGTGAAAAAGGAGGTTCATCCTGGACAGGTTGCCAGCTTATCACAAAGACTTAAAAATATTTGATAAAAATTTACCAAAGATAAATATTTTATAAATATTTCTCAGTTAATTTAGCGTACTAGATTTTTTTTGGTATTATGTGTTACTTACTAAGGTATTTGCCTTTTTTTCCTGACACTTCACTTTTTAGTGCTTCAAATGCAGAGTTTTGCCTGAAGATATAAAAGCTGAAAGAAAATCTTTTTTTTTAAAGATAAATAGTATTTTCAAACAAAGAAGACGTACTAATACAGTAAGTCTAGCTACATTTTTTATCCTCTACGAAAGCACTCTGCGTATCTGAAAACATAAAAGTTTACAGAAACGACTCTGTGGGTTTTGTTGCTTCTCAAGGGCAAGATAAGAGCAGACATTTCCTGTGCTAGTCTATATTTTTTCAGCCTCTCTCACTCTCTTTCTCTTTTTTGAAGCAGATGGTTAAAAGAAAATCGCTTTCTGCTGGAGGCGGGATGCAGAGAGGTCAGGATTTAAGCTTGGAGGTCCACTCTGAACCTGACTGACTGGGACTGTTCTGCATACACTAAGTCTAATCAAATATACGAGGAGGAAGGAAGGATTTACAAAGCTGCTTGATGCAAAGATACTGATTAGATTAGGGATTTTTCCGACAGCAGGTTGGAGTTACAGCATACTCCCTGACATACACACGCATCAACAGGAAGATGCAGAAAAATACAGGGGCTCGGGGAAGATTTGCAGCACAATCCTCGAATGAAGGAAGAAGGAAGAGCTGAGGGATCTGCTGATGCTGACATCCAAGCCAACCTTATTCACACAGAATACAAAATGCCTCCCAAAACCCTTCAAACCCTTTGAACCCTTCCACTTTCTCTTGTTTTAACCACAAACTTTAGTTTATTATCTTAGGATTTCATCTAATAACCCAAAACAAAGTAGCATAAACTTTAGAAAGTGGAAGGAAATTGATACAGCTTTCACATTTTTTACCAATACAAACCAAAAGTGTGTTGTGCATTTGTATTCAATTAAATAGCAACCTTTTATATAAGAGAAAATGCAGTTGTAGTTTTAAAATTTCATAAAGAAACAATGGAATAACTTTTCTATTGTAATAATGAGTGATGTTATGAGTGATAACATGAAAAGAAGTATGAATTTCTCATAAATACTTTTTTTTGCAGTTTTAATGCACTTCAAGTATGAAAAGTACTGATTTAAAAGATGCCGTCCTTGTCATAGTCTCCACTCTGCTAAGTTCACACCATTGATGAAGTGAACTGAGGTCAGCCCACATCCAGCAGAATTTATGCAAGCTGCTCTGTCTCCAAAAGAAACCCCCACAACATGATGCTAGCACTACTTGCATTCACACTGAGAATGGTCATTTCAGATGCACCATCAATTTAGGCCAAAATAATTTTTCTAACTATCTAAAGTACAAAGAATAAAGTTCTATGACAGATTCTGGTGCATTGATCTCTGCATCTACTTTACATTATGCTACCAAATATAAACAAACACTTGACACGCTTTTCTTTGTTCACATATTGACAACCTTGTTCAAGGCACAGTCAACGATCGAAGATAATCAAGAGAAACAAAAGATGGAAAAAGAGAGACAGAAACATAAATGTTTCTTTGTAAAACTGCGATTAAATTGATCTTAGAGGACAATGAGACAAAAAATTAAAAACAAAAACAACACATCACTTTCACAAAGATTCAACCAATGCTAAAAAAAATATATATATATATATATATATATATATATATATAAGATGAATAGTCTGTCACCATTAGCACTGCAAGCTGTGTGAGAACAGAAGATGTTTTGCTTTAAAAGCTGAAACAAAATACAACTATTGATGTTTCTCTGCCATGATTATAGACCCATTCTGAAAGCATCATATGCTGAAGCATGAATCATTACAAGCTTTGCAGATAAACATTCTGCTTTAAAGGGCTTTTTTTTGTGACCCAGTTGCATGCAGGGAAATATTCTTACAGCTTATTGGAGCAGCCTATTCAACAAACATCCGTTACATAATGCTTCCAAACAATAAATGAAACATAAATATTTAAAAAGGTGTCCAGATAAAAGCTTTGCAGAAAAAAAAAGGCAAAGTACTTTCAGAAAAAGTTAAAAACCACATTATAGACCCACAAAACCACAACACCTTCCAGTAAAGCAGTTTAAAAAAAAAAAGAAAATATTATTTAAGTATTTTTTACATGTGTCTAATGCACTTGTGTGGGTGAATATCTTACATGTTGCTGCAAAGCTGACGAGTAGCCTAGGGACAGGATTGTGTGTAATGCCACAATGCCGAACATGTGCAATGCTTTCAACGCAAAACATCCAAATGTTGCATTTTTTTTTAAAGCTCTTAATCCTTCCTCCAACACTAAAGAGGGATTTTTTTCCTTTAAATAGAAATGAGTGAAGGCTTAAATCTAGCATTCCCTTGGTCTCCACATCTGCCTCCAGAACCAGGGCCCACCTCTAGAGAAGTGAACACCATCCAGCAGATCCCAATTGTGGTTGCAAATGAGTGAGTGGAAGTCAGTCGGAGCCGCGAGCGCTCACGGATAAGGGAGGTGGAGGCCTAGGACTGGTGGTGAGGAGGTGGCTGCTGGGAGGCAAAGATAATTTGCTGTGACAGAAATCAGAGCTGTCAGGACCACCATGACCAAGCAGCATGGACAGCATAGATCCAGTGGAAATCCAAGGCTATAGAAAAAGAGAAAAATGTAGGAAATACAGGGGGAGCAGCATTAGGATCATGTCTATGTAAGCTTGGAAACACAGAATGATAAATTTACCTTTTCCACACTGGGAAAGCAAAAAAAGAGCATTAAAACAGACTTGGAAGACAGAAAGATCCATGTAACTTGTAGACATTTAGGAGAAAACCAACAGAGTGAGAGTCACACATTCATTTCTGTCCCCCTGAGAGAGTTGGTGAAAGGTTACCGGGATAACACATCTAAAATTCATGAGAAAAACCTCCAGGGTTCTACTAATCTGCAGTAAGCAAACCACTCAACATTTTTATAGAAAACAATGTAATAGAAGAAAAATAAGAAAAGAGCCTGAGAGAAGGGCAGCCGCTGGAATCATTACTTAATGATGAGAGAGAAAGACTGAATGACAGAGAGGAGAGGAGGAGGGATTGTGGGAGATTAAGTGAGCCTGATGCTGTTTGTAATACACTGCAAAGCACCACAGGATGTTCATGGAGTGGCATTCCTATTCGGGATGAAGAGAAGTCAGGAGGGAGACCCTAAACTTGGCTGCAGAGAAAGGAAGAAGGAAGAACATTATCCCCTGAGCGCTACAGAGCCTGAGCTGAGGATCCAGGGAGGAGATAAGGATTAAGCTGCACTTTTGTGTGTCTTCATTAATGGGATACAAGTTTTCAAAAGGAGACGGAGAAGAAAAAACCCCCAAAAAAACTGGAAAGTTGGAGGTTGGTGTTGTCAGGCGGTTTATTTTGGGATTTGGGGTTCTCATTCCCTTCTTTTATGTTTTGGAAGCAAGAATTGGATTAAACAAGTGAGCAGAATTTTCACACCTCCGGAAGCATTCAAAACTTTTTACCCTTTGGCCTCTGCATCCACACAAACTGAGGGAAAACTGCAGAAAGAAAATGGTTAGAGCTTCTAAGTGTATTTGTTTGATGCTGGAAAAGAACGGCTGCTGAAGGTGACACCTATCTGCTTTTAGATACATTTGTTAAGGCTAAAACCTCTTTTAATGATATGGAAATATTTATTGGCAACCATGGTAAAGATGTGCAAAGAGCTTCAGAATCCATTAATCTTTTATAGCTGTAGCATTTCAACAAACCCAACCTTTAAATTGCATGGGGTTATTCAGTGGGGGAAATTACCACATCCTTTTAGCAGATAAAAGCCCTCATTGTTTTCCAATAATGTAACACAAGGTTGGACCATACAGAGAGAGGATTCTTTTATTGTCCCTCCTCTAATATGGGTGTCAGACTGCAGTCCACGCTGCTCATCCTGTATCTTTTACCTTTTATATGAGGGACTGGTCCAATAAAGCTAAACAAATGGCTGAACAATCTCCTCACCATGTAGTCAAGTTGTACAGAGTTTTAATGACCTCATTGCTTGTTTCAAAGGTGTTGAAAAAGAAACCAATGAAACTGTTGCAGGACTCTGGAGTCTGACCACAACATGATCTAATCAACCAAAGCCCTGAGTCTTTCCTCATGTCTGTTCTCTTTATTTCATCCCACAGCATTTTATAGAAGAAAGGAGTAGTGTCATGATAGTGATTTTTTTAATGATTTGGCCCAAAAAAATTGGCTGGTTTATTTGATAATTTTGTGTACATAGAAAAAATATGCAGAAGCATTGGAAAAGATACAGGCCTACAGCAATAAAGATAGGGTTTAACAGTTTGCTCTAAAGCTTTTATACACTTATCAAGGATTTACAAGAAGTATGATTGTTGTAATACTTAAACTCGGATTAAACTAAATCAGAATGTAATTTCAATTAGTACAGTTTAATAAATAAGGAGTTGTTTTGCTTTATGAATCATTTATGTTAATTGTTAGGTGAGCTTTATTATAAGGAATAAAGAAAGGAAAGTTAAGTTCATTTTTATGGGCAGAAATTGACTCATTTTTTAACCTGTCAGAATAATGGGAAGAACTCATGGTGTAGTTATCCTCTATCTTTTCTGGAAAGCTTACACTTACAGTTTACAAAAAATGAGCCCCTGTCTAATATTCTTGCTTTTTCTCCCTTGATTATTATCTAGCCAGAGCCAACCAAGATGGGATTTGAGAATTTCAAGGATCTGAGAATCATGACCTCTGGACGCTTTCATGCCTTTCTTCTCCTGCTGTTCTGTGTGCTCCAACGCTCTGAGCAAACCTGCCCTTCTGTCTGTCTCTGCATATCGGACACAGTGAGCTGTAGTGCTGCTGGTCTGAATAGGCTGCCCCGCTCCCTGCCCTCCTTTCCCACTAATCTTGACCTCAGCCACAACCACCTAACCTGGCTGGGTCCAAAAAGCTTCTACATGATGCCCAGGCTGGAAAAGCTCTGGATGGCCCACAATGAAATCTGTAACCTGAGCCATAACGTGTTCAGCAATGTCTCCAGTCTCAGGGTGCTGGATTTGTCCTCTAACAAGCTTCAGATAGTGGAGCGACACCACTTCCAGGGGCTGTGGAGGCTGGAAGAGCTCCGTCTCTTCAACAACAAGATCTCTCAAGTGGAGGCTGGCACGTTGATCGGTCTAAGTAGCTTGAAAAAGGTTTATTTGAGCTTCAATCACATTACAGACTTCCCATTCTTCTCCATCCAGGATCACACTCATCCTTTCTTGGCTATGCTGGACCTGTCATCCAACCGGATGTCAAGTCTGCTGTGGGAGGATGTAAAAGCTTTGCCCAGGCTGGTGCAGCAGGGGCTGTACATTCACAACAACTCTCTCATCTGCAACTGCTCCATGTACAGCGTTTTTTGGCACTGGAATCTAAGGAACTACGATTCCATTAGAGACTTTGCAGATGAGCACTTCTGCAACGTTAATGGGGACCCTCGGACATCCCTCCAGTTCCTTCATAACAACCGGTTCTTCAAGAACTGCACTGTGGAAAAACCTGTAATGCAGCCTGTGGTGGATCTCCTCTCCGACGTGGTCATCTATGAGGGCGACAGGGCGCATCTGGACTGCCTAACGTCCCTCACCAGCAAAGACCTGTCATTTAGCTGGCTCTACCCACGCAGTGGCATAAATGACACATTGATCAGCATGTTTTCTAATGGCACCTTAGAGATCCAAGCAGCCATGGTCAATGACTCAGGTATATATCTTTGCACCGCTGTGGATGTCAAACAAGGGCTGAATGCAACACGTGAGGTGAATGTGACCGTGCTGTTGCCTGCAGCAGTGCCATTCAACACTGGTTACACAACACTGCTATGCTGTTCTGTGACTTTGGTCCTCATCTTCGCCTACCTCTTCCTGACTCCATGCCAATGTGGTTTCTGCAAAAATCCTCCAGCAGCCTACAGCCAAGGCACCTTGTCATGTATTTTTTCGTGCTTCAGAAGACAGCAACCCAATGGTGGAACTTTGAGGCATGTTGCCTTTACGGAGCAACTGATGGGTGAAGAAAGAGCAGGACAGATACCTCAAAGCTCACAATAGACTTTTTCTCTTTTTTGCTTCTTTTGTCAGTGATAACAGATATTTGATTAAACTTCTTACATGGAGTTGAGATGTCATTTGAGGTAAAATGCTGAAAGGAAAAAAAAGCCTCCAGTGTCTCCTTTTCAACAACCAGAAGAAAAGGAAATCAATTTTCTGTTTGAATTCTTTTTTGTTCAATGACTAGCTAGTCAATAAAAAAGGTTTCAACAGGGGTTTATTATCCTTACCATGGAGCTTTTATCAGCCTTACAAATCAGCTAATAACTTCTCCTTTACACCAAGCTGCAGCTGTAGGAGGAGTATTTTTTTCTTGAATGAATGAATCTGACTCACTTCTCACATTAAGTGTTTAGAGTGAATTAAAACTCCTTCAATATGTTGCAGCTGAATTGTTGTGAGGACAGTAGGGGTCTAAGTTTAAAAAAAAAAAAAACAAGACTTGGAAATTAGTTAAAGCTTAACTGCGCAGTATATGAGGTAGATGAAAACGAGTACCTGGTTTTCAAATCTTTTGAAGTTAAAATCTTTAAAGGAAATTACATTTAATCTGAGACCAAGAAAGTAAATTAAGTTACTTCAAGAAAAACAGCATAATGGAGACCAAGGGACTTACCAGAGAGCTACAGGATAGAGTTAGAGTAAAAGTACCGTTAGATCTGCAACAAGTTATGGATGGGATGCTGCATAATTAAGATCTCTGGTCGACATGCAAAATGCAGGGTTAGGATGCTGCTTCTCTTCATCAGGCTCTGATTGATATATAATTGTATTTTTCTGTTTGTTTGTTTTTTTTTTATTCAAAACTAAAAAGTGTGGCTTGCTTGTGTATTCAGACCCATTTATTTTGAGACCCCTTAATAAAATCTAGTGCTTTATTCAGATGTCATTGCATGCATTGAAGTTGATGGGAAGATGGATGGAGGTAATAGAGGGAAATCCTGTAAGAAAAAAAACTCTTACAGACGACAAAAGAATTCAGATTTAAGCAAATGGCTTCACCTCAGATCAGCAGCAGAAACATTAGCACAGAGTACCTTTAAAACTGTGGTTTAAATTGAATTTTTTATTATTATTATTATTATTACAAAGACCAAATAAGAATCTGTGGGATTTTTTTGTTTTGTTTTTTTTTTTGGTGCATAAATTACACAAATTTTATACAGACACTTTTAGCTGTAATAACATTAAAGGGGTTTCCACAAGTAATCGACTCATATGTCATACTGATTTCCTCTAACATACTTGAAACCTTCACAGAACAGCTGTAATTACACACAAGTCTACTCCTCATCACTCTGGGTCTCTTTTAAAGCTTGTAATGAATTTTATTTAGGAGTAAATGGGGCTGAATGTAGACACACGGCAAAAAAAAATCCCCCTCTATAGATATATGCGCTGTGACATGTTGGTCATGAAGTTCCTGGAAAATAAGTTAAAGTTTCTGCAATAAAAAAAAAAAAAGAGAGATGTAAATTACTGTATGTAGGTCGAATCACTATGTCCTGAAAAACGTTTTTCCCAAATAAAGGACTCAGCCAGTGATTAAGAAACAACTTCCTCATAAAACAATCACAAAACAGAGGGGTGTTTTCAGATAGATAGGCAGTAATCCATCATGCATATACATATCACATTCAAACCTGTTGAATTAATCCGCCAGAATACAACTCTAAGAAAATCTCCATCTGCACTCTGCTTATCTGGCAAATGGTGAAATGGAAAAATCAGGAGTGTCAACAAACAAAAACGGAGCAGTGACTGGGACGCGCTTCAAAGACGGCACCTCTTTCATCGTGCACAGCAGAGCCCCTAAAGCACACAGGAACAAACAGCAGCACTAAATTTGAACAGAAGTGACAAATTCTTCAAGCTGCTCTGACGCACAGACAGCAAGGGGCATTACTTTAGATAGTCTTCTTTTTTGTTATATGTTTGTATGTTTTTCTGTTCTGTGAATGATCTTAAGACACTTGAAATGACTAAATTACACATCATAGATGAAAGAAGCAGAAGACAGAATAGTTCGCACTTTCATCAATGCACATACGTATATCAAAAGAAGAAGAAAATACGTTGATCTTGTACAAGACTGAAGAGACTGATCATGAAGGAATAAAGAAAAAAGCACACTAAAATGAAAGTAATCAATTTGTGCAGGTTGAGGCAGCAATAGATTATTAAGTTGGTATTTAATTTTGAAGCAAAAGCAGAGTGCGACTGAAGGCTGCAGAAGAGTGAAGGGAATTCGATTTTATTTTTTCCCCACTTAAGTCTAAGAGGAGCTAACTGTGCACCTCACAAAGAAAAACATGCTGCTTTAGTGGAGACCTAGAACAGAATCTCAAACTCAAAAATGGTCCACTGTGATGAAACGGTGCATCCAACTGGAACTGGATAGCTCTCTCTGAATCTCACCAGCTCTTTGGGATTAAGTCAAAATCTGTCAGATGAGGAGAGCGCTGCATTGTAGTTCCTCGTTTCTATTTTTCTCACTTTGGGAAACAACATTTAAATCCCTGAACAATGATTGCATAACATGCTCCTTTGTGCTGGCATGATGTAATGCCATGACCGCCTTTTCTTCAGTACAGAAACAAACTGATGTGATGACTCTGGATTTGGCTTTAGCAGATTACCACTGGGAAACAAGAGCAGGTGCTTTGTTAATTCCTGTATTTTCAAAATCCCTCTAATCTGGTTCTGTTCTTTGAGATTGGCACAGCTGGGGGCTGGATTTATGGTTTCTGATGTGATTTGCTGAAAGGTAAAAACACAGAAGACATGATGTGAGCATTGGCTGAAGGATCATGGGGGACCACGCTTATGTAAGGTAACAGCAGAGTTCATGAAGCAGATACAGAAGAGAGTGACATGTGAATGCAGTCCTGTAGCTACGAATGTCGATTGAATTTTAAACAGAAACGTTCAGTGCAGGAAAACACTACAGGGTTTTCCAAATGTCTGTGTATTTAGCCTGCCTAGTCTATACTTTGTAGAACCAACTTTCACTGCAGTTTCAGCTGCAGTTCTTATGGGTAGTCTCTGTTTCTACTTACCTTACTCATCCAGATACTGGAACTTTTGCCCATTTCTCTCCCGAAAAAGGCTTTTAGTTTGAATCAAAAGCATTGAAGTTAAATCAGCTTTTAAGAATTTCATAGATTCTCACATAAATTAGATGTGAGCATTAACTTGAGTATTTGTAACACTCTGGAAGTTTTTCTCTCTGTATTGCAATGCTACTTAAAGTTAAATCTGAATTTATTCACATCTCTGGTAAATTTAGATCTCAAAAAGTTTCTATTCACCTAAGAAGTTTGTATCTGACAGCAAACAAAAATAAGGTTTTCCCCTAAATAAAATTAATTAACAATTATTAATTAAAAAAGGCAACTTTTTTTACTTTCCATTTAAAATGGCAGGTCAAGATTTATTTTTACCCCTTTTAACAATCCTTGCAAAAAATTTTATTGACTTTACTGCAATTAAACTCTTTTCAGAAATATTGTCTAACTTTTTTTTCACATTTATACTGGTAGGCTATGCTGATAGCACCAACTTTTTTAGGATTTGTGGCCCTCCTTTTTGCATAACCCTTATCTTTAACTTCCTCCACGGGTGAAATAAAAAAGAGAAATTAAAGACTAAATTAAATGAAAAGATTAAAGAATAAATATAACTTGATAAAAATGTCAGGCCTAATTATATCCATTTATTAAAACAGGGAAAAGGCTTTATTGGGAAGTATTATTTTACACGTATGAGGAAATTGCTTTGATGATGAAGTGCTACATATCAACACAGGTAAAGTTGACAGAAATAAATGTTGAAATATATAATGTAGATTAAAGAAATGATTGTTATTTAGGAATAATAAGAAAATATTATTGACGAAAGTCCTCCCCACTGCATGGTGCACATGGGACTTGCTAAAATTATAAATCTGGCTATCACCTAACCAGACCATCTTCTCTCCTTGCCAAAAATCTAAACTGCATTTTTATATTTTTTTTTATTTTTTTATTATTATTATTTGGATTTTCCTCTGCACTCCAATCAAATCCATGTTTGGCTTCAGGGTGTTATTTGCTTTCATGTTCCTGTTACACAGAATGCTTCCTTCTGGCACACAGGCATGGATTTGTGCACTATGAACTACAATAAGCCAACTTTAAGCTCATTATTGCCACCTATAGGACTGGAGTGAGGAAGGCAGTGTCCTACCCCCCTACTAAATGTGCAAGTTGCAGGAATGTGCCGTGTTACACGCAGTGGAACTACTCTGGTTTACTACGAATGCGTGATCAGCTGCGACGGCTCTGCGAGGGAGGCTTCCACATCCAATGGAACAGAGAGGATATTCTCATTGAGAGTAATAATGTAAAAACTGTGTTTGAGAGATTGTATTTCTTTTTTTAATTGCACATTTATTACAAAAGCAGATATTTATGCAGCTCTAGTATGTAGCAACTCTACAAGTCTTGGAACAAACTGTAAACATGATTTCTCATGCGTATATATATATATATTTATATATATATATATATATATATATATATATATATATATATATATATATATATATATATATATATATATACGTTTGTATAAACGTACACACAGATACCTTCTCAAACACATCAGGCCAAAAACCACATTTACACTCTTGTACTTACATTTACTATTCTTCTAGTTAAATAATTTAGAAACTTTGCAGGTGTCATTAATATAAAGTATAAATAATTTCGGCCCCAATACTGACCCCTGGGGGACACCACAAACAATGTCCAAGCACAATGACTGGCAGTCACCCATTTGCACAATTTGCTGCCTGTTGCTTGGATAACTTTTAATCCAGAGCAGTTCTACGCCCCGGATGCCATAATGCTCCAATTTCGTTATTAATAATTTGTGATTTATTGTGTCAAAAGATTATTTGAGATCAAGAAATACACCAACTGCAGATTTCTTATTATCTAAGGTGCTGGTGACTTCTGTCTATTCACTGAGAGCCATTGCTGTAGATCTTTGTGATCTTCATCCATATTTACCTTAGGAAAGCGGCTTATGTTTATTAATGAATGTATCTAATCTATCCACAAAGAATTTCTCAAAAAGAATTTCTTCCATAGGATTGTTTGTTAAAAATGGATTGTTTAATAACCCAGCTCTGGTCCAAACATTTTCATAGCGACCTTCCTGATTTATCTGCAGGGTTTCTTGCTCTTTATGATGTGTTTGATCTCTAACATACTCTAGCCAACCCCTAAGACATGCAGAAAATCCTTAACAAGACCAAATGACATGCAGGTTGATGCTATTTAGTGATTATGTAACTTCTAAAGGCAATTTGTTGTAAGGGGTATCAGAAAAAACTGAGGACAATGGAAATGAATGCCCAACCTTCCAGATTTTCTTATTTACACATCATACAATCATACAATTTCATTTTTACTGCACAATTATAAACAGCTTTATTCTGGTTAATAACATGTAAGTTTACTCAAAAAGGAAAAGAACTCACATGAACTGAATTTCCAGTTAACACTGTAAACATCAGAAAAAGTTAAAAGATTTTATTTTGGAAGGGTTTCATGTTAATTCTCTGACACATGGTGTTAATAGGGGAAAAAAATCATAATGGCTTCATTCAAGAGCCGTGCATGTTTAAACTGATTTTAAACACATAAAGACAGACTAGTTGAGTGGCCCTAATTAGGACCATTCTTTTAAATCCTATTTTATGCTAACAATTGTTCATTATACCTTCCCAATAATCACGCCATAAAAAGAGGAACTAATTTCCAGCCTACACAGTTAGCTACAAGCCTATATAGCTCAGTCTGCCTGCCTCCTGCAAATTATTCTCTAACAAATTACCCAGATGTAAATGAAGCAGCCCTTGATGTTTGAAAAGATGCCCTTCTCCTAAGCAAAACACTCCATCAGGCTTCAATTAAGGCATGCACTTCCCTTCCCAGATTAATTGTTTTTTCCTAGTTCGGCTAGGCTCCCAGGGATTCAGAATCATCTTAGTCAAGAATCTAATTACTGTGAAAGGGGAGTTTTATTCTGAATAGCATGAGTTGAATTGCCTTCACTTGTGTAGAGATGCTTTGACTGTCAGCACAGGCTATTACTGAGCTGTCAAAACAGTCATCAGAAAAGAGTGGAGGCACCCAGCTGTGTCAGATACACACACATCTCTCAGACTAAGTGACATCCGTATACGCAAGCCAACGGGAGGCCCAATGTCATATAAAGCCCTCATACCATTCTAACTGGAAACCAGATTGGTATATAAGTCTGAGAAACCCGGCAGATGTTCATTTCAGGGCAGCCCGATGCCTGGATGCACTGCTCCATGGATCTTTTTTAAGAGCTAGGTCAGTAGCTTCCAAAAAAAGACCAAAACAAATGCAGACTATTACAGCAGACAACAGGCTGTTTATCATACCCCTGAATCCACAGGCCATGTTTTAAAAAGCTGGTATTAAAGCTGTGAAACATCACATGTGTCGAACAGGAATCAGGTCTCAGGGCGCTGTGGGGAACGGATCATGCATGAACGCCACAGGCCAAAAGGTAAAGCACATTTCATTACAGACACACAAATGAGTTATAGACAGTGGAACCACGCAGATCTAAGCCTGTCGACACGTTAGACGCAGTCTCGTGGCTTATCCTCTCTGGGGCTGTTATATGCTTACAGTAGCGGAGTAAGTGGAATTTAGTTAGGTATTACAGGATTTGACAAGCACAATAGCTTAGAGTATTTTAAATTTTATATACTGGCTCTTTTACTGCATCCTTTTGTCTTTTATTCCTCCTTGGTGTTCAGTGCCAGACATAAATCTAAACTGATGCATCTGGTTAGATAGATAGCTACATAAAAATACAGATATAGATTTAGTTATTTTGGCTCTTAAGTTAGCGAGCTCTGTGTAAGATAGGTTTTGCATTAAAAGACAACCTGAGAGTAATTACAAAAGCATAAACAGAAAAAAAACCATCACTGATTCATGTTTTTTAATAATGCAGTGAACTTTTTATCTAATTTTCCAACCAAGACAGAAGAAAGATGCAAATGATTCACAACATGCATAACAAGGAGCAGCTAAGCCTCATGGGACCTTTGAAATACCGACTCTTTGACAACATCAACAATAAATTGTTTTCAGAAACTGAGCAAAAAAAAAAAAAAAAATATATATATATATATATATATATATATATATATATATATATATATATATATATATATATATATATATATATATATATATATATATATATATATATATAATAAAATAAAATACCAGTGCTCTTATGGTGTGTTTTTACCTCATGAACTCAAGTGATGACTCATTTGGACGCCCTTCAATCTGACCTTAATACAGCCAGGGAGATCGGAGATTCCCACAAGCGATGGTCTGGAAACAAAAGCAGGCAGACAGGAGGAGGAACTTCTAACCTCTATCCATAAGAGACAGATTAATAAAAACAGGCCAGTTAAAGCGTTTTTGATGCCTCCAAGATTTTTTGTGTTTCTATTCTTCTTCTTAGTTTCAAATCATCCAACTAATGCTGATATTGTCCAATAATAACCTGAATAACTACCAAAAAGGTTCTAAATTATTATTTTGTTAATTAAGGAATTAGATGTATAAATAGCCTATCGGAAAAATAAATAGTCTCCCATTTTAAAATGTGAATAAAGTTTGATTTACCAAATTATCTTGTTTCAGTTCTATCCAGGCATGGTTCCAATCAGGCAAATAAAAGGGCGAATGAATGGGTTATGAAGTTAATCTAACTATTTAGGACCCAAGCAAACCAAACCTAAAGTCATTAATCACAAACTAAACAAACAGTGGTCAACCTATCAGAAAGAGGTGGAGCCAACCAGACTGCTTTTCCGCAATATAACAAAAGAACCAAGAACCTGGGAGACTTGATAAAAACAGCATCCATATGAAAAATAAAAACATACTGCTGAGCAAAGACAATATAAGAGCCTGTATGGTACTTTTCAAGAAAGATCTTGATGGTCCCCATGACTTTGGGAAATATTTTAAAATATTTTAAGGATTAACTGACAAAAGCACATACAGTATAATGCTATACCTAATGGGAAATGAACACATCATTTTAGATAAAGAGAGTCTAATTTAGAGGTGTGATTAGACCAGGATGACTTAATGGAATCATTCATTTTATTTTTGCCTAAATGTCCAACCATAAGTTTGGGAGCTTTAGATAAATTATATTAATGTAGTAAGACAATAATCTGTCCTACACCACCCTGTCAATAGCTGGTAAAAAAAAAAAAAACAATAACAACATAATAATAACTAAATCATTACAGCATACATTTTTCGGATTGGACCTAATCAAAGTCAGCACCTAAAACTGGCTGAGATAGTATAGCCTTCGGTGAAGCAGGCCATTGAAGCTAAAAGCCATTAATGCTGATGAATTAGAGCAATACTATAAAGGAGAGTGTGGGCCATCTATATAAATTACTCCATTCTATCAGATCTGGTTTCAGGCAAATTAACAAATTTATTTCAAAACGGCTTGCAGTAGTTTCTCATGTCATCTTTTTCTGACCTTAAAATCATTTTAGTGAACTGAAACATTTAAGATATACAAACAGATGAAATCACTAAGGCGGCTCTTTTTTATTTTCTGTAGCACAGAGAATAAATGATGACTAATGAAGGAGCAGCCTCCTAAAGCACTGTCCTACTTATTTGTTGAATAATTTAACCACTACAACTAATAAGCATAAGGGAGAGTGGGAGAGGTATGGGTCATCATAGGGAGTAAAATTCAGCCATTGTGTCATGTAACACATTTTGTGAAAAAAAAATAGAAGAGTTTCAGTAAAGCACCTGAAATATATTTTTAAGTGCCTGAGAAAATGCACTAAAGACTCTTGAGTACTTCGGTTAATGAAGAAGTGTATGAGAATTATAATGAAGTGTTATCTCTGCACGGCATAATAGCATCTCTCAGGTTCCTCTGCTTCACTCTCACGGACTCTTCTCCATCAATAAAAAGAGCTTCACCAACATTATGGTATTTAGATTAGATAGCTGGTTTTGCAGATTAACAAACCTAAAAAACATTGTTGGTTTGATAATTTCTTATATAACTGTATACAGATTTTACAAAAAATAAAAACATTTGCATGAAAAATCTTATTTGCCCCATGACTAAAGAAATTTGATCTGTGAATTTATTATAAATTATCCAGATAATGTATTTCCTCAGATTCATTGTAGAATGTTCTCAAATTAACCTGAGGACTATTAAAAATGCAATGATCTCTTTATAATTATTTCCCCCCCCTTTGTAATTTAAACTCATAAAAAGCAAATATTTTCTATCACATCCAGCCTGTTAAATAATTTGCCAGTTTTATACTCTTCATTGAATATGCCCAATTCAACAAATATATAGGGTGACTAATGGAGGGAACATAATCTTTGAAGTCCATTAAGTTTTTGCAATATTAATTTATTTTTTTGTCAATTAAATTTTGTGGATTTTTACAGATTCATTTTCACAAGAGCAAAAAAACAAATGCATAATTCAGTTTATTCTAAGCTCATTATTTAAATGTATGTAATGCTCAGTCACTTAAATAGTTATAGGCTTTCCAAGGCCTAAAAAGCCTTTTTCAAAATGCAGAGAAAGATGCAGTTAAAATGCATGTTTGTGTGGGTGATGGATCTAACCAGCAGCGGCCTAATGGTTTGAAAATTTGATTTTCTTGGTTATAATTATCCTGGTATTGAAAAAGCTCTGCCAGAAAAAGGGTGGAGGATGCTTTTAACATCAAGGGAGAGCGCCCTCTGGTGTTTCTTTGCATGCGATACTACAAGAGTGAGCAGAATAAACCCCTCACTGGACAGACCAGCTATTCTAATTACTCTTCAATAGTGATAGAGCTGGTGAGCCAAAAGCAGTCAGCATGGAGTCTCAAAGCATTTAAGTGCTGCACTTTCAACAAACTGCTCAACATGCAGCTCACACTGCAGGAGGATATAGATTTGCTGTAGTGCTTTTTAAATGCTTTCCTTTGTATTCAAAAGGTTGCTTTATTTGCAAAAGCTTTATCCAAATCCCTATGCATAGCACAGGGTACCTCTGATCTACAATTCTCTTTGATGTTTTGCATAAAAAAAAAAACATATTTTACAGTATTGAGTTGTACAAATTTAACTATTGAGTGAAATAACGATGAGACAAGTGGTATTTCTTTTTTTAATGGTTTGATTGACACTGTCAAGCCCATCACACAAACAAGATTTGAAATGTTTTATTTTTAATAGAATCTTGGACAAATATGTAAAATAAAAAACAAAACAAACAAAAAAAAAAAACAGCAAAGTGAAATTTCATTCACTTTGTTTTGTTTTTCCTTAAAAAAATATCAGCTGTTTCCCCATTTGTTCACAAAACCGTTTCCAAACCGGAACAAACAGAAATAGTGTGGTCAATTCTGAGAAGCTGGAAGGCCATAAACATTTGTTGGCAAATATAAATATAGTGGTTTGAACAGGGTTTCAAATACATCACACGGAAAGAGTGTACAGAGAGTTTTTACGACAGTAGGACACCCGGCACTGCCCGTATCTACTTTTATTAATGTAGAAAAACCAAAATTAATAATTACCGTTTTAAATCAATGCTTTTATGACAAGGAAATATGTACATTCAGCCAGTTCTGTCTCTGGTGTATGCTGCTTGCATTGCCCCTTTCACTGCGATGATTGTCTATTCAGGGGCGTAGTTATGAGAGTATGTGTAGTCTGTGTAGTAATTCTGTGGCCTGCCCCGACCTGCTGGGTAAACCCAGGAACAGGGTCCACCTCCAGTCCCATCCCCAAGTTCCTGTCCTCGACCGGCCCGAGGCCAGAGTCCTACCGGAGGGGCTCCTCTGCCTCTGAAGCCCCCTAAAGAACCAGGAACCAAAGTCCCCCGCGCTGGCCAATGGTCCATATGCCCGGGAACGCCACCTATGCTCCCATAACCCAAACCTCCCACTGGATGTGTAGGCAGCTTAGGTCTGGGTACAGACCCCCCTCTGGTGGCCACTGGGGGAATACCAACTGAAGTTCCTAGGCTTTCAGCACCATTCCCCTGAGTCCTGCTCCCCTGGGTGCCAGGGGTGCTGCCCACAGGGATTTCACCTGTTTTGGGGACACCAATTGGCTCCATTGACTTAGACGTCACTGCACCCTGGCTGCAAGCAGTCTCACAAGTGCTCGTCTCCTTCACGCCCCAAGCACTTTCCCCAGCTCCACTGAGTGTCCTGTCTTGCAGTGTGGGGGCCCCACTGGCACCTTTAGAAGCAATCCCAATGTATCCGGGTTGGGAGGAGTCACTATGGTCTTTGTAAGGTAAGGCGCTGATGAGCGGAGAGGCTCCGGCTGATACAGCTCCTCCAGCGTCTGCCCCGTATGTCTGCCCCTGCATCATAAAGGGAGGAGGAGGTGGAGCTTTGACTTCTAAGGGAAGAGAAGCCAGGTTTGCTAAAGGTCCCACTGCAGCAATGACGGGTGGAGTTGGAACCACAGGAGCCGTGGTGGTTGAGGGGCGGTGTTCTTGTTCCTGCGTGCTGCTGCAGGGTGAGGCGGGATACGCCGGAGACGCAACATAGCTGGAAGAGCCGCTGTAGGACGACCAGGAGGCTGAAGGGCACAGAAAACTCTGGTGGGTATTTACAGGAAAACCTCCTGGAGACAAGCTGCCAATGTCTGAGCAGGCTAATCCGAGCTGGTTGGTGGCTTTGAAATGGGAGATGGCCGTTTTAAGAGCGCTGCATTCAGTCAGGGTTGATGTTCTTTCAGGGGTGGCCTGCAGGTCTGGGAGAGGGGGGCGAAAGTCCTCCTTCTCCGAAGGCAGCAGCAGCTCAGGGTTATTCTTCTTAGCCTGAACCTGATCTAGAGGATCTGTCAAGGTTGCTGGCTCGCCATCATCAGAATCTAATGACATGTCCTCTGCCTCCACACACTCATCATTCACTACTGGGAGAACAGATGAGGGCAGAGGGGGTGGGGGGACATAAAGGGGTGAGAGAATGAAAACAAATGAGGAAAAGTATAATTTTTTTTGTGCCTAATGTTCCCGTAGATACTCACCAGTGGAAGGTGGTGTAGGAAGCTCATTCTGATTAATGGATCCAATCAGGCTGTGAAAACCAGTCATAACGTCGTCAATGCTCGCGATCACTATTCCATTTCTAGAGTAGTGCAGGAACATTTCAAACGGTCTCTCTGTTAAAAAAAGGAAGAACAAAACATTTAGGTTTAGTTACAGTAAAAGTCATCTTGATTCAGTATTTTAAATCTAAAACTATAAATAAGGTTAAAACTAGAGATGCAACAAATAGGCCTTTCATCACAATATGCTTTAAACAATGTTATTCTATCCCTTCTTTAAAATCCTGTCCAAAGGGGTATTTTTGCTTTATATGTGCATGTCTGAATAATTCCCCCTGAATTCTGCTTTCTGAGCAGCAGCCCCTCCCTGTCCTGGAAAAATCAGTGGCCAACCTCACTGCTATACATAAAACGGTGATAACCTGAACCCTCCAGGCAGCAGCTACCTTGTCATTGCGTCACTACCCACCAAACAACAGATCTGTTTTTATCTAATGTCCAAATCATGAATATGTGCCTTTGGTTTTTGTTCAGTCTTCCTGAACAGGAGCCGAATAAGATGTTGCATCACTGATGCCATCACCATGTCAACAGCAAAGACTAAAATAATCTGAATTAAAAAAACGATTATAAATATCAAACATGTAGTTTGTTCCAGGGTTACAGCAGTAAAACCTTTCTAACTGCTGACCAGCATTTTGAACGATTCCACGGGTATTTTCACAGCTTTAAACTTGGAATACCTCAGTAAAACACCGTCGTTCAAAGTATGTCTTTTAGGACATAAAGTACAGAGGCAGGCAGCCTAGTCATCACTATACTACAACAAAAGAAACTATACTTAATATTTTCTTTTGTAACACCAATCCACCAAATAATGATTATTTCCTTTAAACACAAAATAGTGTTTTAGGGTCAATTGAGTCCATTTTGTGGATAAAAGGATAAGTAGCTGGTTTCTATATGCGCATCTTCACAAAAAAAAAAAAAAAAAGGTGACTAGAAGCTAGGGCTGGGCGATAATTCAATAACGATATATATCGATCGATAGACGTGTGGCGCAATAGAAAAAAAGAGGGTCGATAAAAGTTCGATAAAAAAGAAACGCAGTTTTCCTTCCTTCTCATTGTAGCCTAGCATGTAGGTTTATGCTAGTCACTGCTTCCTCCCAACCAATCACAATCGCGGACCCAGGCACGACGTCACCAACCGCCGCCCTCTCAAACCACAACACAGAGCACATGAAGCTGTGCAGCAAGGGGAGGCGGAGGAAATTATTCCAAAGAAAGGTTTTTGTAGTTCGGCAGTCTGGCAGTATTTCGGTCATGGCAAGTCGGACCAAAAACAAACCACAGTCATCTGGAAAATGTGTCGGGAACCAGTGAAAACCAGTCTGATAACGAAACCAACTTTTTTTTTATCATCTCAGCCGCTCACAGCCGCAGGATTACGAGCTGTGTAGGCCCCGACGCGGCTCTCCTCCGAGGAATCTTCGGGAAAATATATATATATTTTCAGTTCTGGGCAGTTTCCCACGTAGTTCTAACAATTGAGATAAAAATGCTGAGGGGCCAGAAACTTCAAAGTAATAACTCAGGTTAAAGCAGGAAACGGGGGCGGCGGTGGGGGGGCATTTATTTATTTGTTATATTTATTTTGGTCACTTTTCTGGTCACTTAAGTTTATTCTTTGTCAGTATTTAATAACATAACTCAGGTCTCTTAAGTTATTTTTCTTTAAAACAATTCTGTTATGGTCAAAAAAGTTGGTTAAATAAAGATTTAATTCGAAGTCGAAGTGTTTTTTATTAAAATTCAATCATTTAGCAATATTATAAAAAGTCCAGGCAGAGCTGCACATAAAATATGGTTTCAAATCTTTTCAATAATTATCGATATCGATCAATATGCATTTTTTTTTATCGATAAGCTTTTTTTCTATATCGCCCAGCCCTACTAGAAGCAGCTCATGATTAAGTACCTGTGAGGAAAATAAGGTGCCGTTGTTGTGTGTTTTGAGCTTGAAGCTTGATCAGGCATTCCAGATCTGGAGCCTGGCGTGATTGGGTGTCACACTCGTGATACGGGAGAAACTCCACCAGGTGCTTTTTCTGGTAAGCAGTCAAAAGGTTCAGCAGCCCCATAGCGTTGGCATTTAACCTTAAAGAGAGACAATCAGAATCAACAATGATGAGATATATAAACCCAGATCAAAGTGTAATCAGTAGCATTAAAAAAGGAGAACACCATGCTTTTATTAACTGGATTATAATTACACATGACCCAAAACTTTAAAGATTAGATGTTTAATGTGCTGAAACCATGTTTAAGGTACAAACAATATGCTTCTGAACTTGGTCTAAAAGTTGTTTTAAAAATGTGTGAAATTGAGGAAAATTGTACGTTCTTAAGAGCAATAACAAAACCTGCGAAAAGTTAAACTGCTTTTAAAAAAACACATTCCTCAAAAAGTGAAAGGTAAAGTTTGGGGGTTGGTTGGTTTATTTAGATGAAAATGCAAATTATATTTTTTTGTTCTTTCACTCTGTTTATATTCAACTTTTCAATGTTTCACCTTTTTTTCCCCTGCCAACTAAAAATGAACTAATAAATGATTGAGGCTGAGTATTATGATCTTAACACAGACATCACAGTAGATCTGCTCCCATACTGACCTGCCCAGTTCTTTAAGCTTCTTCTGGGACTTGCAGTGGACCTTCCACTGCCAGGGATGTTCAGGAGTGCTCTGGTCCTCCAAGAACTTCAGCAGCCCTTGTAAACGATCTACAGACACAAACAAGACATCAGGATGTGCACATGTAAAAAAAACAAAAACAAACATAAAACAAAAAAGAAATTCATTGGTTTTAAATATAGATTTAATACAGTACTTTCAAAATCGTAGGTCTGTCTGTTTAATCTTAGGATTGGAGTTTTTTTTCTTTTAAGATAATCCAAGTGCAGATAATGAAGATATTACCTTGATTAGCAAACTACCCTGTTGAGGTTTTTTTCGGACCCATTCTTAAGAATAGCAGGATTACATAAGGTCTTATTCATCCTGCTTCCTTTGCACCAAAAAGCAAATGAATGATACAAAACTATATCAAAATCAGGCTAGGTAAAACGAAACATAAACACCTGATATACAAACCTTTCTTAAAAGTTTAGACCTAAAGTTGTAAGAAAAACAGGGCAGTGAAGTGGGAGACCTTTGAGCTGAACAACTACAAATCTTTTTTCTTCATCTAAGATGGAAAAGCTGATAAAATCCATCATAATTTAAACTGCCAAGCAGGTTAGAACGCCTCCATCTCGTTTCTTCCAAATGATAACAGGTAACTTGTATTCATGCTAATCTGAATATAATGAGCTTCATCATAAGAATGCAGCAGATACTCATTATGAATAATGTCAGAGGTATTTGTTTTTCAGGCTTTGCAAAGATACACAACCTGCCTTTTGTGCACAAATAGAAATATTCAATGTCAAAGTATCATTGTATTTGTGTGGCTGGTGTGTCATGTGACCTCAATTAACAATTTATATTTGCCTCATAGCAAACTGACTAAAAACAAATCAGCCAGGGAAAAATTACCTACCGATAAAATCATGTCACATTTCCAAAAACATAAAAAGCAATTACTCACGTTTACAAAAATGGTGCCAATAAACAAAGTCTATTTCTAATAAAAATGGATGAGATTAGAAGCTAAGCTTTGTGGGTAAACCTCACACAGCCAAAACCTGCAGGTTTGAATTAGTCTAAATTCACCTCAAAAAGCCCAAAATGACTGCAGTTAAAGCTCTGATCCAACAATTAGATGGAACTGTATTCCAATGAAGCTTACTATACAGACAAATAATGAAAATGACAGTGGTAGACATGTCACACTGCAAAAATTAGAAATCTAAGTCATTTTTTCTTAAAATATGTGCATTTTATCTTGAATTGAGGTGGTAAATGAGACACTGCCAATAAAATAAGACAATTTACATTTAAAATAAGAAAAATCATTCGCATTGTCTTATTTCAAGTGCATTTTATCTAATTATCGTATTTTAAGAGTAAAAATACTCATTCCATTGGCAAATTATCTTATTTACCTGCTCAAATTAAGGGTAAAAACCCTTAATTTAAGATTTTCTTTATTTCTGGATAGTTGTTGCAGTATACACATAATGGAGTGCAAATTTAAACAACAAAAAAATATATAAACATTTTTGTGGCTTGGGTTCAGCTTATTTATTACTGGAATAAAGAGTAAAACCCACCCTGTGTGATGAGATCAGGGTTAAGGACAAATTCATCAGACACCATGAAGCCTCCCGACACAAACAGTTCGTTGTATGTGTGGTTCTTCACGTCGTCCAGGGAGTCAACTCCAGCAAAGCTCACTGAGGGCAACTTTTTTAGGGAAACCAGAGCTGGAATCTGCAGCACGAAAAGAAACTTTATTACTTCATGTTTAGCATCTTATAAAATAATAATAACACATCTATAATGAAACTGTTATTAAAAGCTTTACAAGGAAATATGAACAGACACACAAAGTTACAGATGAAGAATATTAGCTGGGCTGAAGTTAGCCAGGCCCCAGGAAAACCGAGTGGTTTACTCAAAAAAAGGTTTTCAGGACGCTAGACAAACAGCACTTTTTACTGCATGTTAACTTTCATTGATTGATTGACTTTATTGATCTCACAGTGGTGAAATGTATTTGTTACATCGGCTCAATAGTCAAAAAGAGAAAAGTGCAAATATAAAAACAAACAGGGCTACAGAGGACCAGGAGTAGCTACATCACCTTGTGCACATGTGCAGCGATGTCTTCATTCCTGATGATGATGAGGAGCTTATCCAAACTTCCACTATTTTCCAGAAATGTCTGCGGGCTGCATTCACTGTTGCCTAGACTTTTCAGGTACTCCTTTTAGACAGACAGGAAAGGTACATTGTTAGAAACGGAAAGGCAAACGACTGTGTCCTCTTCTACTACGTTTCCAAGGTTGAGTGACAGATACAAAAGGAAAACCATGCATTGAAACGGGACGTGTTTTGCACATTTGCACTTCATTTGTAAACATCTGTGTGTGCAGACAGCAGTGGAGGCTTTTCAGATTAAATTTGAATACATGAATGTGTAAAAATGGCAGTAATTAATGAGGACTGCAAATAAAGTATATTTAATTAGTCACAACCGTTTTTATATTCAAGAGAGAAAAAAAACTAATCATTCATTCTCATGAGACTAGTGGTAGATTTAGGACCCTTCTTTTTGATGTAACCAATGGAATACAGCAAATTTAGAACCTAAATGATTACATCCAACACAAAGCTGAGTAACATTTCAAAAAGAAGCATAAAAGCAATTCTGTAGGAAAGTCCTTAGCCTAACAGCTGTTTCATGTTATAAACTACTTTAACCCCTCAGCTCTTAAACACTTCGACTGAAGGAAGAGAGCTATATGAAGATACCACACCAGGAACATTTTTAATAAGTTATTAACTAAAAGTTTTGAAGATGTTGAACTGCTGTTTACTGAAAATTAGATTTTTTCCTTTTATTATAATGAAACTGAGCAAGGAGTGCCCTATTTCACTCTGTAAACACCCCAGTAGGTGCATTTTCATTCATATTCAGTTTGAGGAATATATGATTTAGGTTTACTCATGCTTTGGTGTTTCAAGGAATGTCCTGATCCAATATTAATATAAGATATTATAGATATATTACCTCAAAAATACATATTGGGTTTTGTTGGCCGGCATCTAAAATCTCTGATATTTTCATGCTAATGGAAACATGTTTCTTCTGTTCAAAATGTCTGCAAATTATTGGTTAATTTTACATGGGTCAGTTGTTTTCATACCATTGACTGTTGACCTGTGTTCCCTGTTTATGAAATATTACTTGACAAGCATTTTCTAACATTTTACATTATAATATAAGCAGCTATGATTCGTGCCAATATCTTATCGGGTCAATATCCGGACAAGTATTTTTACATTTTCTACAGGACAAACAGGAAATTGGCAGAAAGAAGCCTGATGTCCAATTGTTATAGTAATGAAAACTGAAGGTCATTGGTGGAAAGTTTCAGATTCTACCTTAATCTCCTTGCAGACAGTGCTGTCCTCGCCTTCTTCTCCAGAGTAGATGTAAAATTTAACCGTATTCTTCGTGACGTCTTTGAAGATTTCCACCAGACTGGTGAAAAGCTCCGGTTTCAGCTGCCCAATGAGGCTCCCTGCGAGCAGGTTTGACCCGCCTTCAGGAGCAGCACCAGCCGAATGGGAGCTCAATTCTGGTGAGTCTGATGTGGCATGAGAGGGGGAATAAAGCCCTCCTCCCCCCAGTGCTGGAGCTTCTGTTTTAACCTTGACAGACGTCTCACTGCTGCTGCAGCTCTTTTTAACACCATCTGAGAATGTGGAGTTCTTCATAACAGAGGGCTCTGTTTTCATTTTGGAAAACTGCTTGGGTGCAGCGGTTGGGGTTCCAAGGCTAGATGTCACAGGGGGAGGTGGAGAGGTGACCTTGGGAGAAGCAGGTCGAGCTGGGATCAACCTGTCCATCTTTTCACATAGTGCTTGGACATGCCCCTCGACGGGTACAGGGGGGACGAAGGGAACAACATAGTGTGAGAAGTAGCTGCTGGGCTGCCAGCAGTGACGTAGAGACAGCCTTTGGGGGAGCTGTGAGGTATAGCTAATGCGCTGAGTCTGCATGATGTTTTTAATGTCCGACGTGAGGCTGCGGATCTCCTGGTTCAAAATGGTGTCCAGGCTGATGGAGGGCTGGAAGGGAACCTCATCTCCGACCATTGGCGCAGCAGGATTTTTCACTTCTATAGCAGCAGGCGTCTTCGCCTCTTGGTTGGTTTCTGCCGTTGGTGCAGGCTCAGGCTCAGGCTCCGGTTTGGCTTCAACAAGTGGCTGAGCTTTTTCTGGAGGAGAGCAGAGAGGAAACTGTCACGCTGATGCCCCGTTTACCTCAAACAAACAAGAAGACACAGGAGTAGTCCATGTTGATTTTAGCTTGGACAAATTCAAGAAAGTTTGAATAACGAAACTGGACTTCAGTTCTTGGAACTCAAGATGTTTAGCTTATTAACAGCAAAGCTTTCTCCGATCAAAACCAGCGGGGGACAAATTTTTTAAGTTGTGACTTAGAGCCAGGGCTGGACAATATGGCTATTTCTTAATTTTTGGATAATAAAAAATAAATCTAATCTTCAGAAAGGTGACCAAGAATGCCAACAAGAGATGCAAGGAGAAAAATAGGACAAATATTTTTCTATATTTATATAATTAATACAACATAACATGGGGGGGGGGCCTATTCCAAGAACTCGCAAACTTTTTTTTTTATTGCGGAGTCTGCAGGATATCAGTGGCTCTCAAATCAAACAAAATGAGTTGCTAGACATTATTGAGGACATATTTATAAATATAATTTGTCTGAGGCATTGTACAAGTGGTTGTACTTCCTAACCACCTCGATCAACTTTTCATCGTAGTTGAGGTCTGCGCGGGTTTGCGACCGTCCGACGCGTAGGCAGGATTTTTTTGAGGTGTGCGATGACGGTTGTAGAGGCTATGCGTCAGAAGCATAAATTGGCCTTTAGTGCTGCTGTCTGCCTTGATTTCTGACAGATGTTTTGGTCACATGGAAAATTATGTGAATTTGTCTTAAAGTGCCTGCAAACTCTTGAGCATTCAACATCAGTGGAAGCGAAGCGGGGGTTTATTGAAGATTTTGTGTGTGGAATAAGACATTCCTTTAAAAAAAAAAAAAAAACGAGAAAGCTTTGTCCTTTTTTTGATTAAGTACTTCAAGCAAATGGGTGCATTGCCAGAACATGCAAGCAGCTTCAGTCAAACCCAAATGGAGGCCGTCCAGAAGAAATTGCAAGGAAAAAATATATATGGTAGTCGACGAAAAAACTGATGCTCGCGATTGCAGTGCTCTGAACATTGTTGTTGGTAATTTGAGCACACAATTAAATAAGTTATTTAAAACGTTTTTGAATGTAAAGGTCATACTATTTTTAGGTGTCATACTATTTCAATATATTTGTGAGTCATTCAATGTTTGAGGTATTTTGTTTGTGTATGAGACGTTACATTCAATTCGGAATTACTCAAGTGAAGTTTGGTCTTGCACATAAAGAATGTTTTTCGGTCTATAAAGGACATGTTAGCACCTTGCAAAACACACGTAATGTTCTGCTGAAACACAGCAATGCATTTTATTTTGGAAAAGGAAAGTCAGTGTTGTGGCTAATCATTTGTTAATTTTCAGTTTTATATACTTTTACTGGTTAATGTTGAAATGAAAACATGTAATTAAGAAAAAAATTAAAAAAGTGTAATACAGAATGATAAAAATGTGGAATTTGGAAAAAAAAAAAAACTGAATTTGAGAAAAAATAAATCAGATTTCGTGAGGCCCTACTGAACTGTGGGTCTTGGAAAGCTAAAATCTGAGGCGTCTTGCTCTGATGTGAGCTTTTCTCCTCTAGCAAAGATCCAGTCAGATTCAAACCAATTTATAACTTGTTGTATAGGTATAAAACCACCAAAAGAGTGGATTTACATACAGTAGGGATGTCCCAATTCAACTATTTTCCTTATCAATACCAATATGGCACTGTATGTATTGACCCGATATGATATCAGCTCAAATCATATTGACTTTAATTACTTATTTTGTGGTGTGGGATGTTAAAAAGCTTGCTCAAGTAATATTAGTCCACCAGAGAGCAATACAAGTAGATGACAAAAAAGGCATGAGGACAACTGACCCACATCTTATTAGCCAGTGGATAACAGCAGGAACAGCTCCTTGGAAACATTTTTTAAATCATCTAACATACAGACTATTGGAGCTGGTGCTGAATAAGGCAAAAAGTCGATAGTTTGCAACTTGTAGCTATGGAGCAGCAAAACACTGTAATTCCTCTCCAGCTCTGAGTAGCATTTTTTTTATATACAGAAGTACTAAAACTGTTAGTTCTGACAGGCTACAAACAGGTTTTTTTCTGCCTGAAATTAATTCCTTAAATTAATGGAACTTTTTTCACGCTGCTCCTGAGAAAATGAGGATATTTTTATGTGTAAAATTAAATACAGTATTAATTGAAGCAGAGAGTTGTGGTCTAGTGGTTACAGCAGAGCGTGCATCCGGAGGAGGCTGCCTCCGACTGCTCTATGTAAGCTGTTCCCTGCTTCCTAATGGGTGAGTGAAATGCAGAATATTTGACTGGAATAGAGATCAAATATTATTATTATAATACGATTTTTAACTAACCATAAAACAAGAGTATTTTATGTAGGGTGTGTTCACTTAATAGATTTTCCTGAAGGTCAATTTTTGCCCACAATAAAATAAAATGAATATAGTAGAAGTGAGAAAAAAGATGGCTATTTGGATTGGTAAGGTTTCCGACTTCTGCTTTAAATGAAGAATAGGCAGATTTTATTAGTGAGATAGTTTGAATATTGCATTATAAATTCCTTCTGGCAGGGTTGTGTGCTTCTGACCATCATCAATCTTCTATTTAGGTCACAGCAAAAATAAAAACGACTTCAGACTTTCCACAGCTCCTCCAAATCCAAAGTAATATATATTTTCAAGTTTTTTTTTTTTTTTTAAGATTCTTTAATTATGTGTACAAAATTTGGACTTCTCCACAGCAGTAGCACCAGGGCTCTGAAAGTCCTGCACCTTCAGTTGCACTACTGTAGGCTTCACTGTTTTTTTAAAAATGTATTATTATTAAAAAAAAACAACAAAAAGCCACATTTCTAAAATCTATTTTGCTGAACTTTCTGCATCTGTTGATTTTTAATGTCTTTAGTTTCCCTTTTGAACAGCGAGGCAGGATCTGTGCTTTAAAAGATGCTTTATAAAATCTTAAATTTACCATCTGGACATTAAATCCTAAATCTGGCTTGGCAGCACAAAAACAACTTTTTTCAATAGTTTCTTATTATTGGTTAAATTTCAAATGAAAAACACCTGCCTCGCCTTTTTACTTGCAGCAAAGAGTTCAGCAGATATAACCTGAACTATATAGCCTGAACTCCCTAATATGAAGGATGCATGTCTCTACTCCCCCTCTTCTCCGTCTCCAGGATCCTGACCACGTTTTAAAGTAAATACTCCCTTTCCTTTATCAAGCAGAAGTGTCTGTTCCCAGGATAACCGAACAGATGTACAACCAGCATATATAGAGGATGCATGGTGGTCTTCTTTATTCAAATAGCAGATAACATCCTCATTGCATATCTGAGGTTTCTAGAAAGCTTTGATGAATAACAAATATAAGATCAACTATAATCAACATTTGTATCTGATAAATTAAGTGTGGATTCTCACACACAATTTCAGGTTATTTTAAGACTGTGATACATTTATTTTGTTTGGTAAAAACTAAACTAAACTAAAAAAAAAAAGAGGACAATTAAAGCTGAAATCAGAAGTCTTTCAGGACAATCCTTGAATTACCTTCATTGACAGGATGATTCTCAGATATGACGTCTGAGGGCTGTGCTGCCTGTGGCGGCGAGCCCATGCCCAGCGGACTCCCTGGGCTACAGTCCATGTCCTCCTGAACAGAAAACAGCCCGTTTTAAGTCTACAAAACGTGTGGCAACAGAAAAACAGTACGAATGAAACGATCAAAGCTCACCGCTGTGTAGTTTGTTTGCGGAGCTGCTTCAATTTGCATGGCAGCAGCTGATTTGGAAAGGATGGACTCTATAATTCCTGAACTAGTCGAGGATTCGCCCTGACTCGGCGGCACGGGCATGGAGCTCTGAGCCATGGCTTTGTTGAGTGTGGCCAGGAGGATTTTGAGCAGGCGCTGAGTCTCGTTGGCTGTTGAGGCGTCAGCGCTGCTGCGATTTCTCAGGTCCGTGTCATAGAGGCCGATGGTCTCCATTACTGCCGTTAGGCTGTCCCCCTGTCCAGCCTCGGCTGTGTTTTCGTCTTTCTGGCCCACTAAAAGAACAAACAACCAAAACTTCTTACTGGACTTAGCCCGAATCATGAGAAAGCTTTGTTTTTTTTATCTCTACTTTGTAGAAAAAGTTAGTGTAGAACACATAAAGAGCTTATACAGTGATGCACTTTTTCTAAGTTTAATGATAGAATAAAAATCTAATCTAAGTGGTAAAAAAGCAGCAAAGGACTGCTGAATTTCTAGTATTCATCAAGCTTTAAAAGGAGAGAGAAGGTTGTTGAGATTTCAGTGACTCAGAACTAATCAGAATGTGCAAAATGCAAACACAATCTTCACACATTCACACCTCACAGACTTTGGAAGCAGAATGCATTAAATTCCTGGCCCAAAAAAAAAAAACAGAAATTAACTAATTACATTAATTTAAATAGGTAGCATTCTCTGGTCTCACCTCTACTTGGTTCCCAGTTACTAAGATGATCAGTGCGTTGGTGTTTGTTCATTCCTCCTTCGCCGTCCCCTTCGAATTTCCTTTTTAGACTGTTGGCATCCCAGCTTCCATCCTCCCCTAGATCCCTCCCTGGATCCTGAACCAGGGTTTTCTTATGTAGCTGGATCAGCTTAAGCAGCTGTTTCATCTTGTCCTGGTCGTACTCGTTCTGGGACAGCTCCGACTTCGAAGGCTGGGGCTCGCCGTGGGGTTTGGGTTGCAGTTGAGCACCATTTGAATGCGTCGTGTCTGGCCTACGTTTGCTGGTTTCAGGAGGTGCCTTCTCCTGGCCAAGCCTCTCCAGGGAGACTCTTTCTGCTCGGTCCGATCCTCTGTCCGAGCCCCCCCAGTCAGAAACAGGGCTGTATTCCATTGGCACAGAAAGAGGAGCACAAACAGGAACTGATGCGGGTGGAGGTACGGGGGCGGGGCTCCTTATTCGTTCCATTATGTCCCGTGCCTTGCCCAGAGGTAAAACGTAGTTTGCAGAGTTGTGAACGTACGACCGTAACACAGCGTCCATATTAAATTTGGGTCTAGGCACCGAAATAGGGCTTGCCCTTTCATCAAAACTGTTTCTGTAGTCAGGCAGAATAAAAGGTCGCACCGTTCCAGACTCCATACGCGTTAGATAGTCTGCGGATTGGCGTTCCACACCAAGACTCAGGTCCTTGCCTGGCTTCAGACGCAGCTTAAACAAGGCATAGTGTAGTGCAGGAATAAAAGGCTCCATGGAGGTCAGGAAAGTTGCCTGGGGCTCTGGCTCCGACACTCTGGCAGCTAAAAAAAATAAATAAATGAGACGCATGTTAGATTCTATAGCTGATTCAGCTTTAGCAGCTACACACAAAAAGGGCTTTCCACTAAGAGAAGGTTAACACTGAAAAAGGAAAAGAAATAGATTCATTAAAGTGACACACTTGATTTCATTTTTTTTTTTTTTTTTTGAACTAGCTTCTGAGTTTCAGGGAACATGTTATATATTACTTAAACAAAGATTTTAGAACAAAAATGTTGTGTTTTAACCAAAAGAAGCTGGAAGCTTTAGTTAGGCGGAATAAAAAGATGCACAAGAAACAGGGATATCTGCAGCCTTCAGAGTATTGTTAAATAAACTCCACTTTGGGAGAAATTCTCATTTTATAGTCGGTGTTCCAGGAATATTTGGAAGTATCTTCTTTTTGTCGCTTTCCATGACCCCACTTAGGTTTTTCATTTTGTCTTGTAAGAACAATTTTAACAAAGACTGTATCTGTTCTCCAAGGCAAGGCTTAATAAACAGCGTGAATGAAGAACAATCATCTTTTTCTTGCTAAATAAGACTAATGCTTTATTTCCTAAAACAGGGGCCGAATTCCCGTTATGGATATTTAATTATCAAAAGAGTAAGACTGTTCAAATAAAGTACAGGAAATTCAATCTAATCTCTAAGTTTATTTGAAGGCAAGCTGCATTCGAGGAACAGTTCACAATGGCGTTAGTGAATGTGCAACTAGCATAAAGTTATCACATTCTTGTATACACATCACAGCCTACGGCAGACCTGTGATGAGAAAGACGTGGGGAAGTAAAAAGAGAAAAACCTAAAGAGACCTCTCCTCACAGGTAGCATATAACAGAAACAAGGAATCACCCGCCTTTATACAAAATCTAAGGCCGCTGACACAGATTACAAAATGAAACATACAGCTTCCTCTGCTAATTAAAAAGAATACATAGTTCTGCACAAAATGTCTCATTACATTCCACAGTTTTATTAAATAGGTCAGCACAGCCATCTAACAGGACAGGTTAAAACTGTTCAAGCTTCCTTCTGCTGAGCCAAGATGCTGATTTTATTTTTGACCAGGTCTAGACCACTGCTCACCCCTCCTGCAGCACAAATACTGTTTAATGACCAAATCACTGGGGTTGATCTCTATGATCCAAAGGCCATAGATTCCTGCTACCTGTGATTCCTTTATGCCCTAGAAGAACCATAATCTGATCCCCAGGTTGCATTTATTAATGCAAAATGAGGCCAAATGAAGCACTGAGTGCTTATACTGCACAGTTCAAGGAAATCATTAGAGTAGAATATTTCTGTATTAAAACACTTTTTAATTGAAATCACAAAAATAATAGACAACAGTATTTCTTTTTTATTCAGTTGAAGACATTTATCTCATAACTTTTTTGGAACAATATCTTCTAAAAACAAAAAAACTAAGTTTTGTTGCAGGTTTAATGAAAAATGCAGGTGTTCCTTGACTCAGTCAGTAAAACAATGCAGCGAGATTTTTACTCACAGTGCTTGACAACCATCCTCGACTCCTGAAAGATGAATAATGCTTGAAGCTTCTTCTCCATCCGCCCCCGCCGCTCTGGAAAACAAACAGCCACCTTTTTAGAGCTGAACCTTCACCAAAGGCAACAAGTAGGTGGTCCGACTCACACAGAAAGAGATTCATTAGAAAGAGTAAAGAAAGGGAGAACGAGAAATCTTTGCAGCACCTTTTGAGTCAATCATCTGAGCTGAGGACAGCAGGAAGAGGAAACCCTTGTCAAACAAGGACTTCACTAGTACCTGGGAATGAGAAAATCCTTTCATTAGACACAACAAAGCCTGTTTTCTTACAGCTTTAATATATCAAACAATTAGCAAAATCATCTTCATTTGTATAGCCTTTTACATGTACCCAGGGGGTGCATAAATTCTTTATGTCGGATCATTGGTTATCAGAAGGTCATTTTAGGGACGCACCAGTAAGCTTTCTTGGAAAGCTCACTTCATTTGTCCAGTTTGGCTGATTCCAAATGATCTTTTAAAGGTCTTTAAAAAGTACCTAAAAACCCAACAGTTATTAATCTAACATGTAAAAAAGAACAAGAATTGACCATGAAGGAAAACAACATTGACTGCATTTTTTTAATATATGCTATTTTTAAAGGAAAAGACAAAACAAGCAATATTCATCAAAGAAAAAATCTTTTTAAAAGACAGTCCAGTCAGAAACAGACAAAGCTCTGGCCTTTGTTCCGCATTCAAAATATCCCTGCACTCTTTGGATAGTTTAAATATTCACAGCAACATCTTTCTTTAGGGGTTAAACAGAGATATTTGTACATTTAAACTACAGTCTTTCCTCCTTCATAAGATAGAAAAAAACGTACTAAAAAAAGTTGGTCAAACCCTTAAAAACGAGGGACTTGTATTTATTTCTAATAAAATCCATTCACCTCCCTGAAGCTGAAAACATCTAAGATTATGTGGTCCTCCTTCAGCTACAGCTCAATGCAGAAGCCTTAGGGATGGATTATTCATTGATCAGATTAGTGATTAGTAGATTTAGTGTATCCACCACTTTCTGCATTAATTTTGTTTTTGTATGGTGCTGATGATATTCTGATAGTCATTATAAAAGCTTGGGTTCCAGATGAAAGTCTCACCATTCGGTCCCTCTCCAGTTTGTTGATCAGTGCTGTCAGGCTGCCGCTGGTTGCTTTACCCTTTCCCTCCACCACCTCAAACAGGCTGCAGGACATCCCACACTTCATCACTGCAGACAAAGTAATATACATGTGGATATTTGTGGCACAAACCAAAGATACCTCTGTCCATATGAAGCTCATCTAGTTTTACAATAGATGCCGTTTGTGCCGACCTTCCCGTGATATGCTGTAGGTGTCCCAGGAAAATAAAAAGGGGGGGATCTTCCTCTTCACCTGATCCAGCTGCATGCCTTGATTCATCTCTAACTTCTCACGCCTGCAGAGGAGAGTAACCATTCAGCAGCCGGTAACAGACTTCTCATACCTTCATATCGCGCCTAATCAATCTTCCTCTCACATGTCAGAGTTAAAAGTTCAGTGAAAAGAATTCAATAATAATTAACAGACAAAAGGAATACTTGCATCTTGAAAGGGAGGTAGGGGCGTGAAAAGGAACGCAAACAGACAGGGAATAACTCCTGACCCTTGTTCACCAGTGGACCGCTCCACACCGTGTAGCAACTCTTCCCTGTAAAAACATCAACACTTTCAGTGGAAAAAAATACAAAACACTATCATGTAGCTGTGGATAAACGTGATTATGAAGCACACTGATGGGTAGGTTTGCACTGAATACTAAAAGAAAGTTCAGAAGTTATTAAAACTAGGGCTGGGCAATTCATCACCAAAAATAAGTGAATAACATTTTTTGTTTATAAAGATTTAAGTTTTGGAAAATCTGGATTTTTTTTTACACTAATCCAATCCGTGGGCTCAGAGTGACATCACTTCATTAACTTTTGTTGTTCGATGTGTACTCATAAACTAGCTAACTGTGTGATACCACTGGCTGCAAACGTTTAGTTTGATGTATTTTTATTGTTTGTTGTAAAACATTATTACTTTATAAGCATGTTACACAGCTTAAATTTTGTTGCCTGTTTGAATTAATGTCACCTCCCAGAGGAGATGATTAAAAAAAATAAAGCTGGTTTTAGAAAACAACATATGTCGTTTGTTTTTGTTATTTTTATTAAGGAAGATGAGTGAGAAAACAAATCAGATTTGGTAAGGAAAAAAAATCTGAGATTACCTTTGTAAGCCACATGTTTCAGCGTTAATCAAAACTAGGATTTAGATCCAAAACTGTTGTACTGTTGAAAAGTTAACTACAGGCACAGTGAATAAGGAGTACATAAAACCATTTACCTGTACTTCCTTCAGGGGAAATGGCATTGAACCTGTTTAAAAGAGAAACTAAATGTTTATATATAGCGACAGATACCAAACTGGCCATGCAAGCTTACTTGACATGTTCACCAAGTGACAGTTTCCTGCAGGATAAGGTACCTGTGTGCAGTCATAGGGGATGCTGCCACCTCCTTGCCTTTGTACTGAAAGGAAACCACAGCGTAGGGGCATACATGCCGGGGCCGCGCTTTGATCTCGTCAAACGCAAACTCGAAGAAATATTGCTGCAAAACACACCCAACTGTACGTTAGCTTAAGGAAATCCACGCAGAAAAAGGGGCGTGTAAATATGACCTGTTAGTTACCTGCGTGAGCTCAAAAGCTCTATATGACAGCAAAGATGTGACCCTGCTGGCACTTTTGGACAAGTGACAGTCGAACTTTGGTGAAGGTTCGATGGCGTTCTTAGGCATGTTCTCGTGGATGTGCTTTACTCGTCCCTAAGAAGCAAAACATCACAACTGGCTATAATTCCCAGGAAAGTTGCAGTGAATAAATACAGCAAGAAAACAGTTAAGAGCCTTACCCTCATGACCTTAAAGATGATCATATCTCCAAACGAACCCACTTCAAAGGGATTTATTTGTAATAAATCAGAGTATTTTGAGAGATAAACACCTACAAAGGAACAAAAAAGAGGCCTTAAGTTACAGCACGTTGCTTTAGAAAGAACAGATATGCTTTTTTCAATTGTATTACTGCTGGAAGATCTGAGTTCAGACTGCAGATGGTAAGTTATTTAAACATCACAAGTATTTAAACACATTTTCTGTCAAACCATAAGAAAAGAGGACAAATTACCCATTGATGGATTTCCTAATGTTGTGATCCTGCAGTGTCCTAATGACAAGCCTTTCTCACAGATCCACTGGAGCTGAATGAATAAAGCAAAACAAAACAGAAAATATTCACCATAAGGATTTTAATTCAAGACTTTATGACTTATGTAAAATAACTTCAGAGTGTGAACTTAAAAACTTACACTTCATATAACTATAGGAAATGAAATCTAATTTGGGTGCATATTTCTTTGTTGCTGGAATGCAAGTCGGTTGCTTCTGCCATTAAGTTACCAACTGTAGGAGTTTCTATGCTCATTATTTATCCATAATGGTTAGTAACAGATTTTAAGTCAACTATTGAAATTTGTTTAATGCGTCGTGTGCTGAAAGACCTGATGGTAGACAAATGTAGCAAGAATATTTTTTATTTTAATTATCCAAAGGGACAAAAACTGGTCAGTTTTAGGTATGATTTCTTTTGAGTTTGTGGAAAGGTCTAAATGACAGGACTGTTGGTAATTGGCAATAACATTTTAGCTTTTAATGACTACTTTAGCAAAAAACACATACCCAGAAAGAATGAATTTTCATTGTATATTTCTCATAAGAGAAAAAAACTTGAAAAAAAAGGAACATTATTAAGACTTACAAGAAGTTAGTTACTAAGCAGAAGAAGCTAGGACGAGTTTAAAAAAGTTAACTAATTCCAGTGACGAAAAAAAAAAAAAGGTTTCAAAATCTGTTAATACTGAGAATTTTTACGTCACAAAAGAAACAAATTGTAAGAGTTATGATTCAGTAGGTGCCCAGAAACAAATACCATTTATTTTAACTTTGAAAACCATGGATGTTTCAAAGCAAACTAACCTTGGATTTATCTGGAAAAAGGAAGCAGTACGATTCAGAAAGCTCTTGTTCGGTCCGCCCCTCCTGCTTCATTTCTCGCCGCTTCTCAATAAACTGGCAACAACAAAATAGGGCAAAAAGTTCAGTTAGTTTTTGCAATCTGAACCAAGATGACAGACAGCATAGGTATGCTGTGATTTCCAGTCTTTAAAGGACGACCGATTGGACCAACCTCCTTCTCCAGCAGCTCGTTGTGAATCAGCCTGGCCTTACAGTAGGAGAAGCTTCCGCGTGATGAAGCATCCAAGTAAAAGGAGGAAATTATCTTCACAAGCTCCTCAAACTCCCGGCTTTCGGGGGGCAAAAACTGGTAGAGACCTGGACACAGACGTTCACAGGTGAAGCGTGCTTAAATACCAACACACAAGACGAACATAGCAGAAGCCAAAAACAGATGTCCGTATTATTCTCTCTTATTTTCAGCATCACAGATCTAAAGACGGTACAGATATCTGATGTAGTAAGCAACCCATTTGCATGGAAAGTATTGCATTTAACATGTAGTAGCACACCAGTTATTAAATCCACTCCAGGACAGTGATTCTATATCGAGCTCTGATGTGCACGACATCAACATAAAAGTGTAGGAAATTTAAAAAAATGTAAATTTAAATATATATTATTCTGTACTGATAGCAGCTAAAGTCACAATCTAGTTTGAGTTTTTGATAAATATCATCCCTAATATAAAAGTAAATTTGGTCCCAGAATAATCCCTCTAATATAATCTGATTCACAGTAAAAAGAAATCATTCCAGATAGGGCTGCAACTGACGATTATATAGCAAATTGATCAATCTGTCGATTATTTTACTAAGCAAGTAATAATCGGATAGCAAAAGAAGATTTTTACGAAAACTAAAACTTTTCCACTTGAGGAATTCTGGATAGAGCACATTGACAGACGAAAACTATTAATCTTAAATGCAAAATGTTTTGATATAGTCACCGCTCTAAGTGGGTCGCTCTGTCAGCTTAAGGCATGTTTTAGAGTCTCTGTACTCCAGTTAACGATAAATTGATCACTAAATTAGTTGAGGATTATTTTTTAAACAATTGATTAATCTTATCGTTTCAGCCCTAATTATTTATATGCCTGCAAACAGGTGACATTGCCAGTTGCCCCAATATCTCTACCTATGTGCTGTAGGTAGTAGAAAGCCTTGAGTAAATAGGAAAAGATAAAGACAGGGCAACAGAGGACAGCAATTTGCATCTGAGCTCTAGAATTTAAATGGTTGTACATTTCAAGGAAAGAAATCATTCAAGCTCAGCAGTTTAAAAATGACTGATCTGTAAGATTTCTTCTAGACGTTTGTCTTTATATTTGCTTATGCTTGAAGAAAGGTTCACTTTACTGAGGGACTTCCACATGTCAGAGCAGGATGAGGGGCTTAGACAGGTCCTGTTTAGATCAACACACACAGGGATGCTGTGGGAAGTGGGTTGGGGTGATTCTGGGCAGTTTGATAACAAGTTTTGGGTCGACACATGAGGGGGGGATTAAGCCATGCCCTTCAGTGAGGTCAAACAGACACCCACATGTATTTTAGTGATGGCGTTCGCGCTGCAGCAGACAACCAAGGGGGCTACGGTTCATGGAGAAGATGCACAACTCAGACATTAGTCTTCAGCTGGTCAGTCCACAAACGTTTAACTTCCAGGCGCAACACTGCTGCCCGCTGGTAATCTGAGCCTTACCAACCGATGCTAGCGTTATGTCTGCAAACAGCGGTACACCAGCCCGTCTATATACAGTGTGTGTAATCTAATATGAACTAAATAAGTCGGCGAATCGTTTTAGTTAATGTAAATAAACCGTCGGAACAGAGTTGCTAGCTAGCAGGCTAGCGGCATTCAGGAGTTAGAATTATGAAAGCAGGGCAGGCTCTGTTGAAAATAGCAGCGACATGGCAACACCTTTCCGTTCTCTCGTCTTCCTCGGAATCTGGAAATTCTTCCGTGGCAACTCCTCGCTCGATCTCTGAGCAGACAGGGGAGACCTGCTGGAGCACCGGGCGTCCGCCAGCAAGCTCCTCCGCCGTTCTGGGGCTTCTTGTTCGGGCATTACACCGTCTCTGCATCCAGGCTGTTCGCCATTTTGGTTGGCTGTGGCCAAAGTGGCGGCTGAATTCTTGTCCGCTTCGCCGCCCCTCGGGAGCGGGTCTCCCGTCTCTGCGCATTCTGAGTCCGCCTTTCCTGCAGCCTTGGGGTTCAGGGCCATTTTGAGGCACCGTGCGCTGGGTAAAGGCGTTGTAGCTCGGACGATTACGGCGCCGCTTTCCACACACTGTCCTCTTCACCCAGCCTCCGCCATTGTAAAAATGACGTTCACGTTCTTCTCCACCACTGCAAAACGTTGCCGTCACTGTTTACATGCTAGGAAATCTACACCCCCTAGCGGCGAGAGGGAGTGTTGCAAGAAGGGACCTCTCCAGAGGCGTGACTGGAAGGATGGAAGAGTGAAAATAGTTTTCACACAAAGATACATTCTAATGCTACAAAATGCAAAAAAACTCATTGCATATCACATTTCTGATTCAAATGAATTATTTAACCATACTATTATAGTACAGTTGATCTACAGTAAATTAACTCTAAATAAATAAGAATTAATTTATTTACTAATTAACTCTAATTTCCAGGGTTACTGGTGGTCTTTCCTCCATCCAAAAATATAATACTTAATTTTATTAAGCTGGTTCTGTTTTATATTTAGGTAACCATATATTTCAAAATAAAAATGTTATATATTTACATTTAATTTAATTTGGCTACTAGATGAATAACTGATAACCAAATGAAATGAGATACACAGGTATGCATTAAAAGATGTATTCTAATCGCTGTCTTGTCACACTGGAAACTAATCCTTCAGTTAGATTAGATTAGATTATGTATGCGATTTGTAAGAATTAATACCAAAATTGCCAGTCATATTATAGAGTGCATCAAAAATCTTACACTTTTTGCCAATAAACATACCAGTTCTCAACATATTTACATTTATGAGCATATTTGTTAGTGCTGCTCTATTTTTTAAAGTTTACCTACAAAAAACATTTAAGCACATTAAAGATCTTAGCGGCCTGCATACCAAAAACAGTTGGGGTGTTTTATGGCATAGAAATGTAGGTTAGGAGTCAAAAAGGAGGGAAAGAAAATAAAGTGTACGCTCATTCTTGAATTATCCCACTTCTGCAATATTGTTTTCCACCACAAAGGAGTGCTGTAGAGGCACCGTTTAAAGATTTATACAGTTACTGTCATTTTTTAAGTTTACCTATAAAATATATTTTAGATTCTAAGAGCTAGACAGACCCTTATTTTTATTTTATTATTGTCTCCATGAGAACCTATTTAAAACTTTTTATATGAAAAGAAAAAAAACATTCTATAATGTATTAAGATAAAAATCTTACAAAAACCACATTTCCACAAGAGAAACACACCAAAACAACTCTAATTATGGTAAGGTATGACTGAAATTCAATGCTATCTTATCAGACATGTTGATATCAGTAAATTCTTTGACTTTTACTTCAACACGGGTTATGGGTTAACCATGCTCCCCCTGCTATAAACATCAAACTCTTTAAAACGGAGATAGTCTTTCAGTCTGGGAGGAAGAGGAAGGAAGTTGATAAAAACTGGGGCTCTCAAGCGCAGACGGCTGAGATGTTCCCTTATCCTCAACCGACACAGGTGCTTCAGGCTCCGTGTACTTCCTGCCAGTCAAAAAGAAAAGTAAACAAAAGCAGTGAGTGCACTTAAGGATACATCTCTAGCAGGCAAAGGAAATTGAGGGCAATCCATCATTGGTGATAGATTAGGGCAATTCTCACTTTGAATGTGACTGATTTCTGGCCATTGATTCTGTTGCTGCAAGGTTTCTTTTAATTTAGGGCAGAAGGAGACATGGTCAGTGTAGTCCAGCATGATGCGCACCACCTGGCCAGACAAGGGCTTTAGCCAGGACACTGTTATTACCTCACAGAACTGTGGATGGTCAAAAACAGCCATCAGACACTTAAACATAAAAATCTAAAAAGGTTATCCTGCTTATCTAACTTTCATGCAAGTTTCTCTCACCACCATGTCTTTGATGACTGAGGTTGTCCAAGGAGCATAGTCATGAGAACTTTCACCGTAAGGACAGTCAAAGCAACGCCTCACATCATAACCATTGTTCAGAATCATCCTCAGCATCACTTCATCTTTTAAGGCATACTGCAGGGCTGAGGGGAAGTGAGTGGTATTGATTCTGGAGTAGTAATTCACGTTTGCTCCGTATTTCAGCAAAGTGTTGATGAGTTCATAGTTGCCCTGTCTGAGTGCTATCTGCAGACAGTTGACAGGATCCTGGTTCACCATTGCCCCAGCCTCTAGCAGTAAGCGGGTGCAGTGAAGGTCATTGTTGGACACGGCGAAAAAGAGGGCAGACCGGCGCTCATCATCATAACTGTGGCGTATCTTTGGATGGAGCATAAAGTTTGGGTCATGGCCCGCCTTGAGCAGAATCTCAATACACTGAGCATGTCCTCCAGCAGCAGCAGAATGAAGTGGACTCATTCCACTTTCTTTGATAGCCTGTAGCTTGGTAACAGGGATGAGGGCTTCCAGGGCTCTGTTAGAGACAGTACCAAGTGTTGGAACCTGGTATAATTGTTGAAAAATGTTTTAAAATAGAGAATGTGTGTTTTGATATTCCTTACAGTCTGTGCCCGTGGTATGCCACACGGTGAATTGGCAGGTGCCCGCTGTGAAGAGGAAAATTGGGATCTGCTCCATGGTCCAAGAGCAAGGAGATTATGTCAGGGTTTCCAGATGCTGCTGCATCAAATAATACGGTACCAGACTCTGTCTCTGATCTCACATGGGCTCCTAAAAAATAATACAGGAACAACAAAGATATATTAAGACTTTTATTCCCAGCAGTTAAGGAGTTGAATCTAACTTCTTGCTTTCTGTTATAAGAGAATCATGCATAATTCATTCCTCACTCGTCTTGCCTGTGTGACTGATTAATTCAGTTTGACTTGGACATTCACTTCATTACTGGTCACAAGCTGGGGAAATAAAAAAGGAGCATACAATAAATCACCTTATTTACCTTTTTCCAACAGAGTCTCCACCACATTCAGATGCCCGTTCTGTGCAGCCAGAGCAAGTGGAGTTTTGCTTTTAATATCAAGTGCATTCGGGTTGGCACCTGACTCCAATAGCAAATGTACAAAGTTCTCCAAGCCTAAAAAGGCAGACTCATGTAGAGCGGTCCTGTTGAGGGGTCCTGTTTGGTCTACAGTGGCATTGTACCGAAGGAGAAGTGTGGCCAAGTCATACTGGTCATTCATAATAGCTTAAAGTCAAAGAGAAGGAGAGAGGAACAGATTCAGAACATAAGGCTAATGTCGGGCATAGAAAAAAGGGAGCCAGGGTTTATACCTGCCACCAGTGGAGAGTCCTGCTCATCATTTTGAACATTTGGGCTGCAACCATTCTGTAACAGGAATATGGCATTTTGTCTAAGCCCATGGACCACAGCTAGAAACAGAGGTGTCTCACCCTTTAAAGTGCGACACTGGGCTGCTCCTGGGGGGGACTCTGAAACCACAACACCCAGAGTCAACGTTCAAAACCCACTAGAAAAGCAAGTTTCCAATCAAATGGTTTTTCTATTCTCACCTGAGAAGATAATTTCTAGTATCTTTTTGTTATCCTGCACTGAAGCCTCATGCAGGGGGATCCATCCTCGCTCATCAACTCTAGACAGAGTCTCAGGTTGCTCTGCTAGTCTGTTCAGTGCCACCTCATCCCCTAAATGAGAGAAACTTCTGGATATTTTACATTATAATCAAATACAAGCCGTTAAAATGTCACCAGCATTAGCTTACCATCCCTAATTGCTTTGAAAATCTCATCAGGATCTGTGCTGGGCTTTAGATCACTAGTAAAACAGTCATTTTTAGACAAAATTAACATTTGAACAAAATTTGAAAAAATACTGTATATATAGCAGATAAAACATGTATTTTGTCTGTCAATTTTTTTCTCAGTAAATACATTTCAAATAAGTGCACAAAGTAAGATATGTTTAACTGTTAACTGTGATGTATTCCAGCTGTTAAATTCCCTTACTAAAATGTATTTAGTACCCAGTAGAAAAGGCTTACTTTGGTAATGTCAGTTTCAAGGGTTTCCCTCTGGCTTATTATGCGTCAGTGTCATTTCTATCCATTGTTACACACAAACAGTCTTCAAAGCTTAAAAGTCTCAGGTGGACTTATATGCACGCTTAACTCCAGTTTTTGTCACAGATTTTTAAATGGAATACTGATTATTTTCTAAAATCAGATCAGAGTTTCCTGTGACGTTTAAACATGAATACTGTCTTGGTGAAAAACTTACTCTCATTTCAAACTGGGTTTTATCTATCTTTAGATTCTTTACAAGAATGTCCTGGTACATTTTCCAACTAATCTTTAATTAAATTGAGCACTAAATCAACTGCTAGCAATTTGAAGATGTCTTTTTGAGGGTGGGGAATGGCGGCCCAGTAGTTAGGGCATAGAGCTAGGAATCCTAAGGTTCTAAGTTTGAGACCCACACCCATAGACTGCCACTCTGGGTCCCTGAGCAAGACCCGTAACCCCAAACTGCTCCATAAGGGGAATGGGCTAAATGCAGAGTTCAATTTCTCAAATGTGAGATCAATAAAGTTCAATTATAATCTGTATATATTTCAGCTATTTTTGTGGCTTTCTTTGCGTCTTGTACCTCCTTTTCTGCAGGTGTCCATTTCCAATTTTTTATTCATGTATAACTCCCAAGTTGTTAATGCATAATTCGATTTATTGAATCATTTTAAACATTTTGTGAGTGAGGATTATTTCAGTTGTCACCAGCATCTGGGAGGAAATATCTATTACAAATATCTATTTACTGAGAAAAATTGGATATGCATAGTGCATGTTAATAGACAAAACATAAGAAATTCTAACCTTGGATTCAACCCCTTGAGTTTCCTATACTGAATCAGACTCTGTTCAATGATATACTGCATGGCCTCGTCCTCATCCAGGTCATCCTCTGACTGATAAAAGTCATCCCCGGTTTCAGAGCTCATCGGGAAAAAGCTAGCGTAGGTGACATCCAGACAGTAAACAACGTTACATGTGGGACATGAGTATTTGATGCACTGATGACAAAACACAATTTAGTTTTTTGCAGGACCAAAATCCATTAAGCATTAACATTAATTTCTATTTCTATGCATGTTTTTGGAGAAATCCCAGGAACAGTTCAAGCAGATGTCCAGAGACTCAGCTGTACTAAGGCTTCATAAAGGTTGAAACCAAAGTATGAAGATATGCGGCATAAATTTGATTGCAGAGAGTATTTGTTACAAGCTTAATGCTGAAAGACACCAAAGGAGAAATTACATTTCTACATCACAGCACTAGGTAAAAAAGTAAAAGTAGAAATCTTAAGACCTAAAACATTACCTAATTAATCAAACTTAGTAAAATGTTCCCTCACTGGTGCGTGTTTACCTTGAGCGAAATGGCGGTATTCCTCTGGCAGTTTTCACACTAGAAGCCAGTGGGCTCTCGAGTGCACACATGTTTACTGCAGCTATTTATAGTACCCCCACCATAAATATCAGATCACAGGGTTTTAACAAACAGCACCTCACTGACCCACTTAACACTGCAAACAGCTGCACAGTTGAAATGTATCTTTAAATGGTATTTAGGCAGGTATCTGCATTTTACCTGCAACCTCTTATATAATATATGAAAGAATTAGAAAAAATAAGTTTTTTTTTTTTTTTACCATTGTTGTACATTACCTACTTTTGAGCTTGCATTCCAATTAAGGTAACTGACCTGATCATCTTACAATGAGCTTAAAAAATAAAGGGAAAAAAAAATGTTTTTTTTTTTTTTCTGGGTGGGCACATACTTCAGAATCTTGCATTTCTAGCAACATTAATTGAGCAATATTAAAACTTGGTGATTCTCATAGAATGCCTCTTGGTAATTGCAAAAATCAGTTTAAAAAGAAATAGTAATTTTTTAAACCTTTTTTCTTTAACTGAGGTATTGTGTTAGTACTTGGAAAACATTTCACAGAATAACCTAATTTAAATTTCATAATTTAGAATATTTGCTGATATGATTACTTAATAAATAAATTAATAAACTGGTCTTATTTGCCAGCAACTTTATAATAGACAGCTAACTTTTTTGGTAAAAAGTGGATGTAAAGATCAAATTTGCTATTTCAAACATTTTTATTATTCGTTAATCCAATTAATGTTGACTATCATTGCATTTTCTTACATCAACCTTATCATTCCTGCTGGCTAAAAGCGGCAATTTTTCAGTAGTTACTGCTAAAACTAGAGGATATTTATTGTCTCTTTATGTATAGTAGTAGATAAAGATTGGACCAAGCATCATGTCATGCACTAAAAACAAACACACATTAATTAAATGCAGGTATAACTTTTATTTCACACACCCAAACACTATTATGTAGTGCTGAAGTTTTCAGCAATATGTGATCTGGTCTCAGTCATCGAGCTGGCATAGCATGGCCACACCACGCTTAATCCAGTGCTGTGGAGACTTGCTCGTGGGCAACATTATGGAAATAACGAAATTGGTAGAGTGACCAGTAGTAGAGAGAGTTCCCTTCCTCTCACTGGTCTTATAGAGAGGGCAGACATAGAGTCCTTCAGACGCATTGATGGTCTTCTTTTCAGCTTTGTGCAGGAAACACAAATTAAGGAAAAATGGTAAGTTCAAAGATGAGAAAAGTTAAAGATAAATAGAACAATAAAATAACAATAGATCTATATAAAGAACAGAGAAACCGTCTTGAAAAAACATTAACACAATTGAATGTTTCAGAGTTTTGCTTGTTAAAACCCAACACTGGCTTGATTCCTTTTTTGGTAACAGGCTGCATTGGGCGTTTTTTTTTTTTTTTTTTTCAGATAAAATAAGCAATAAAAAAAAAAAAAATCCAAATCTAGAGAAATCTAAATTAAATTTGTGCACACAATCTTAGACAATAAAGCTAATTATAATTGTGTAAAGTGAAAGAAAATGGTACATAGTTTGAATAAAAAGTAAAAAAAACAAACCACTGGACTTTGTCTTTCAAGTTTGAAGACGTTTGGCTTCCTATAAAGGAAGCTTTCTCAATTCAAAATGTCTGGATTAGCATTGACCAGGCGAGATGTTTTGGTCCCCTGCATAGCGATGGGCGTTGAGATGATAGCAGAAAGGAATCAACTCTATTGCTGTATCATAGATTTTTGAGAGCTGAAAACTGATTCAACCCCCTCTGTTTAAGGTTGGTTTTTCTCTCTTAACATAAATGGCTTCCTTCACACCCCTTTCAAAGCACCTATCTTATTTGTCCAAAATGTGAACATTCTGGTCCTCAAAAGAATGTCCTTTGTCCATAAGGTGTAGGTGAGCAGCAGAGTATTGTCCAGAGGACGTAGCCCATCTTTTTGGAGCCTTGGAGAAGTTGTTTGGTTTCTCCAATATAAAGATCAGAGCATTCCTCACTGCATTGAACTGCACACACCACTCCACTCATCTTAGGTCTGGGAATTTTGTCTTTAGGATGCACTAGCCTCTGTCTAAGGGTCTTGTTTGGTATTGGGATTTTGTGTTTGGGGAAAATTCTCTTGAGTATTTCAGAGACTCCAGCAACAAATGGGATTACAATGCTTTTGTGTTAAAAGCTTCCGGGGTGGGAATTTAAACGTATTCAAACATGGAAAACAAAGTCCAGTCTATTTTTTTTTTTTTTTTGGAATGACTATGACTTGGCTGACTCAGAATCTTCACAGTACATAGTTTGACAAAAGATTTTACAAATAAAAATTCAAAAACTTTTGTATTTTCAAAAAGGAAATATCACTATAGCTTGCAGGGGCATACACCAAAGACTTGGAGGCCTAATTATAGAGACGGTTAGCTTTTTAAAGTATTGACTTAGTGGGGGCTCAATAGAATAGTCATTCACACTTATCGGGTTTTTATCACTTGAAAGATTTAAAAGCCAAGTATGTTTTACCCTCTATTCCACAATCATAGACTACTTTAAATTGGTCTTTGACACAGAAACATAATGAAATACTTTTAAAATTTTTTGTCTGTAACATCAAAATGTGAAAAAAAAAAATTCAAATAAGTCCAAAAAAGGGCCATTAAAACATTTTTAAAACACTCTATTTAAAACATAAATTACACCAAGTATATAGTTCTGAAACTAACAGATAAAGTTATGTCAGACTTACTAGGTTTTATCCAAATGATGGGCATGGAGTCAAACAGTACTTTTGGGTACTGCTCCGCCAGAAATCCACTGATGACAGACAGATACATAAAAGAAAGTTTATATTTGCCTGCATAAATAAGATGAAACATAATTCCAAGCTCAAAGATAATACATTTTAATATTATGCAGGAAAAAAGTATCAGTGGGTCGTCAAAATCAGGCCATGGTTTAATGCTACTTATTGGGATGTGTTCTATATATTACAGTAACAGCTAAAAAACCTTAAGAGAGAGAGATCCTGTTTATTTTCTAATGCCTTGTCTGGACAGTGAGGTCATCTAACTATTTTTTGGACTAAAACTACCGTAGACAAAGATACATTGGTTAGAAAACTGATATGGTAGAAGATTGTTTCCTTTCCATATCTTATACCTTAAATTGCAGATTTGTTTTTTTAATTTAGATTTATCTTTTGCTAAACATTTACCAACCTGAGCGGACAGTGAGTCCGCTGGACACTGTTTAAATCCTCAATCCTTGCTTTCTCTATACATGTCTGGTGCATGCTCAGCTTTTATTCTCCACCAGATGTGCTCATCATTCACAGCTTCATCTTTGCATTCCCTGTTCTGCCTTGTTCAGCCTGCCTCTTTCTCACTCAACATAATTCCTGTGCTTGTCTGTGTCTTTTTTACCATGATGTCAGAAGCTGTATGTAAATCAACCACACCACCATCCAAAGGTCAAAAATGCTTTTTCTCTAATGTTCATGATATCATTTCCCTTTAGCTCCATTGAGGTGAAGCAAAACAATCTGTACCTCAATAATATACGGTATCCAAAGCAGAATTTTATTACTTTCAGTAGATTTTTGGATTAGATGAAAAGGCCCACAGACCTACCTCTATTTCAATAAATTCAAATAGGATACATACAAACATTTCCTTCTATTGTCTAGGAAAAAGGTTTTCGCTGTTTCCATTTGTTATTTTCAGAATTTGGTTTACATTTTTTATATTATTTTTTTATTTTTTAATTTAATACAATTATAAGGCAATCTTGAAAGTTCTCTTTGTAATTTTGTATTATCAAGCTGTACAGGGTGATTCAAAAACTTTAAGTGGATGTCGTGGATGAAGCTGTGATATTATGAAATTGAAGAGTTAAAATATCTGCTAATCTTTTTCATATCTTTCTTTTGAGAAAAAAAAATTGTCTAGGCATTGCTGTATCCTCAGTTACATTTAATCTAAATGCCTGGTAAATTTCATTGCCATACTGCTAAAAATCTTCCATCTACTACTGTAATTGGTGTGAATAAATGGTGACAGGACATTTATCATAAAGTATTTCAAAAATGAATTGAGAGGCGCTGAAATCATGAGAATAACTCTTAAGATAAAGAATGTTTTTACATTTTCATTTTGAATTGATCATCAATTATTAGTCACACCCCTTTTTAAAAAATAATTTTGTATGTTTATGTTTTAATGATTAAAATGGAAAATCTAGTTTCTAAATCTAAACTAAGTAAACTGTTCTATATAGTTGGTCTATATCCAAAAACCTGAATCTTTTAAAATAAAGGGCTTGAGAAAATAATGTGAGTTAATTACTTTTTTTTATAGTACTGCCAAGAATTTAAAACTACTTCAACTCCTGATTATTATGTTCTACTTAACATGTTAATTGTATCTACCTCCCCCTGTCCCAACGTGCACCATCAAGGAACAATCCATTAATGTAAACGCCATCCACAGGTGCTGTTTCTGATGTATCGATAGGAAGAACCTAAAGGATGATACCAAACAACAAGACGATAAGAGCAATAAAAGGACATTTATGTTCGGTAAAGACAAAGTGTGTGTTTTATACCTCGAAATCAAACCCCAAAAGATCAATGGGGATGTGGTATTTCCTGGCGTAGTTCTGCATTGCCCCGGTTAGGAAGGCCTGGGGGAAGTAGAAGCCAGACAGCCAGAACACACAGGGCTTCTTGGTTTCATACCAAACCTACAGGCAAACAAATAAATGTGTAAATAGAATAAAGAAAAAAGAACACTCAAATATATAGTAATTGTTTCACATAAATGAGATATGCCATATTTAATTTTTTTTTAGAAAAATAATAACATATTCTTACCTGTAAAAACCTAAGCCTAGAGAGAATGTCACTGACATAACTCCCTAGTGGCTTCAGGCTTGGGTAAGAGCGCTTTGCCCATTTCTCTGGGACCTTTCCAACAGCCAAACTAGCTGCAACAGCCTCCAGTTCTGAGTCCATCACCACCAACCCCTTAATAGCTTTCAACAGGTTCTGTAGGCTTACACGAATGGTACTACACAATCTAAAAAAAACAAATGTAGGAGTTTAAGTTTCATAGACTCTCTCCAGTAAAAAGATCACCACTTTGAATTATTCGTACGCGTTATAGCGCTCCATTTCTTGGACAAGGACGGTGTTCATACATTCTTCATAGAGGACTGGGAACTTTGACAGAACTGCTTCAGTGTCAAAATAATTCGGAAGCTGGAAAGAAAGACAAATATTCCAATATTAATTTCAAACTCATTGTCCGGGACCAGATCATGAGGGGAGCAGTCTCAGCAGACCTCCCTCTTTACAAACACCTCCTCAAGCTCCTCTGTAGGAACCCTGAGGATCCTGCTTCACTGCTCTTGCCCGCGTGGTTCTGGATACCATGTAAATCCACTGCTCTTGCCGCAGACACCACGTTCGCTTGAACGCACTTTAACTGCTGTATGGAAGATGGGTTTAAACTAGGGTATACCTGCGTAAGGATGTCATTGGCTATGTCAAACAGGGTGCTGTCACTGCCAGAGCTGCTCCCTCCCTTTGTTCCTCCACCCTGAGTTAGCAGCAATGAATCAAAAAGAAGTTTTGTCTGCTGCAAATCTTTGGAGATGTCAACATTTTCATGCATCCCAAACACCTCTGGATGTTGGCTAGACGGAAGATTCTGAAACACAAAGTTATTGTTATTCACCTTAAAGGGAAAGAGGGAAATACTTTTACTGACATGAGGATTTTTTTTATACCTTGATAAACAGCACATAGTCTTCATAGCTAGATTTGGGTGGAGCAAAGTATTCACCACTGGGTGAAAAAGGGTAGCGAAACTTAACAATGTCTTTGTTGTAGAAATCGGCCAAGATTGTCATCAGAAGCCGTCGATCCCAGTCATCTGTCACACGGCCACCGTAGTTACACTCTCCAGTTAGATATGTTATAGCCTCAAAAGGCACATTCTCATATTCATTTATAAATAGCTACAGAGAAAAGAACAGCAAGTTGTGTTATATTTTTGTGATGGTAAAAACCAGAGAGCTAACACTGAATGAAATACCTGGAGTTGTCTGATGCTTATCCGGAGGTCAGACTCATTGAAGCCATACGGAATATTCCAACCTAGTGGGCCGAACTTCTTCCTCTCCTGAACAAGTGCGTGGAAGAAGCACAGTCCATACAGAAGCTTTTCCCAAATCTAGCACAGAAATTGAGAAGTTATAAAATGCCCCAATTTGTATGCATACTGTATATATTTGAGACAAAATTACCAGCTCCTTCTTGGGGCAATTGCTGAAGAAGTTTGGGTCAGAAACAGGGTCTGACAAGTAAGACTGCAGGAGGTTGAGACAGAGCCCTGTAGGGGGCTCATTGGTCATTTTCACCCCATTCTGGAGGATGGTTACTGGAAACTGATTCCAAATACAAACACTGATATTTATACAGCCTTTCTTTATTCCATCATAGTATAATAAAAAAAATCTTAACTGTTTAATTAAAACTACTAATGAAAATATTTACATTCTTAAATGTCCTCACATTTATTGTTTTATTCCCAAAAACTGCATTGCAATTTATTTGGATTTTCTTTGACAGGCAAACGCATTCTATTGCATTACTGTGAAGTGGAAGTAATGGATTGAATAAGTTGACAGCCTCATAGCCTGCACTTTGAGACGGCTATTTTAACAAATGATTTTCCTTTGATCTAAACCAGTCCATTGTAGCTCTCGCTTTCTGTTTATGGTTGTTGCCCTGCATTAAATCCCATCCTTAGTGTCAAGTTTTTCAGTAAAAAAAATCAGCCTTTATTTAACTCAATAGCATAGAATCCATGAGGCCCATGTTATCACATAAACTCCAATTAGCTGAAAAATAGCATCCCCTAAGGGTGATATAATTGTCTGTTGAACTCATTTAATGGTCAGCTTTTCTCAACACAAAGTTTTTTTAAATGTAGGCCAAAAAATTTAATCTTTGTTTAATCTGACCACGGTCCCTCTTACAATTTTTTTTAATGTATCCTGTACATTGATTGAGATAAATTGTTAATGGAAAAGGAAAAAAAAAACAAAACAAAAAAAACATGTCGTTCTTTCAGCAAGGACTTGCCATGACTACTGTATAGTAATGTCAAAACGCTAATCTTATCTAGGCTGTTTACCGTAGTCCTGTGATGTCCCCCTCACTGCCCAGACTGTCAGGTGGAGAGTTTAGGGCATATCTTAATTACTGTGACTTTGTCCGGCCCCTTTCTCATTTTTAGATGATGGACTGAAAATAGCTCAAGCTTGTAATATTGTTTAATGATCTAACCCTACTTCTGCAGAAATGTATCTCCGTCTAAATGCTGTATGTAGTCCTGGGTTTTTATGGAACGCACTGAGGCTTTACCAGAAAACAATTGCTTGTAATGAAATTAAACTATACATGTGCCCTTTTTTTTAACTAGATGCTTCAGAGGACAATGGCATTTATTTTCATCATTACAGAGTAAGGGGTGAATATATTTATGGACACTACACTTTTCAGACTTTTATATTAAAATATATTTGAGATCATGAATCCTTCTTAATTTCACTTCCATTATTCCACCACTCTCTGATGACATAAAATCTCTAAAACTCATGGGAGTTTGTGGTTTCACTGGGACAAAATATAAAAAAGTTTAAGGACTAAATCCAGAAGGTACAGTCCATCTATTGAGTAACACTTTACCTTGGATGAAGGGTAACTTGTGAGCCAGAGGCGGAAGTCTTGGTGGCATGTTGCAGGGCTGAAGTTCTCACAAATTTTTTCCAGATTTGACATCCATGAAACAGCCAAGTGACAGTTCTGTAAACACACCCATGTTCCATTCTGCATGGCAGTCGATATCATTTTAGCAGCTATGGGACCCTGACCTTGTCCCAGAGAAATAGACTGGAACTTGTTGCCAATCATATCCTTGTCATTTGCAAACTTTAACAAGCCTACAGTGTAAAAAACATGTTATTTTAACAGCAGTACATGCTAAAAAGCCACCTGAAAATACATCATCAGTATAAAAAAACTTACTAGCCATGGGGTCCGCTCCTGGAGAAAGCACAAACACAAGTGGGATGGTGGAGTTGGAATCAAGATAGCTCTTACCCAAGTCAAAGGGAGGAGGTTGGACAAATTTCTTTCCCAGATAGCAAGATACATATTTAGTTATAGCTGGCAACATCTTATCAGGTCTGAGACATCGGATAATTATCATTTTCTGCAGGCTACTAAGTTGGTTGCACCAAGGTGCAGGCAGAGGAACACTGCAGGGTTCTTTGCTGTCATAAACAGGCCTAAACTCATCTGGACTCTTGATGAAAGCCTTCCTGTGCAGTTAACATCAAACAAATTCATTACTTAGAAATACTGTAAAAAAAAAAAACAACAACAACAAAATTACTTAATGCTTAATAATTATTATTATTATTATTTTTTTTACTTTATTCCTTGTAGCCCAGGTAGTTCATCGGCTCTGCAGATTTCATCCCAGCTCTTATCTTGCAGCCAGCTGGGATCTGGGTTAGCAATGGTGTTCTGCAGACCAACTCCACCAGTCAGCAAAAACATGAATTCCGTCTGTTCTATCTCCCCCTTTGCTCTAAAAAGTATCACAATAGATGTAAAAATGCACAATTATCAATTAATATTTTCTTCTAAAAACATACAGAAAAAAAGAATTGTTGCTTCTTTACTTACAGGAGCAAATTGCAGCAGAGGAGGAAGGAGAACAGCAGTTTGTCCTTTTCAAAGAGAGACCGGCAGATGTTGCAGTACAGGTTGTAGGTGAAGTGATCCATTAAATGCTGTAGTCTTCTCTCCAGAGTCTTGGACTTGTAACTAATCAGTAAAAGCATAAAACACCAACTTTAGATAAAGAATAGATTGGTCCTTCTCCAAAAAATTTTAAGAGTAATAATATTTAGCTCTTTAAGACTGTTATTGAATAGATTCATGGTCTAATGTTATAGTATATTAATTGGACACAGTTTGTGTGGCTTTCTAACCTTTTTGGAAAGAAATTTATCATGACACAACAGAAGTACTTAACTTTGCTTTCTCAGTAAAAATGAAAATCAGTTTAAGATCTTATGCCAGTTAACTGAATTTATCTTTTATTTATTTTTTGGCAAATCAGTATTGTCAGACTTATGTGCAAACTATGAGCAACGGTTTTTGAAATGTTACTATAAATCACAGGATACTAATATATTTGTTTTGTTGCATTTCTGTTTTAAGAACCATAATAACGTTTATGTATATCACCCACCTGTCTTGAATGGAGTTAATGTAAAGATTAACAAACCAGCTGAGAGAGTACTGATACATAGGGTCAATGTTGGTCAAATCAGCAATGCTAAAGAACAGGATAGATGAGTGCTTGGCAATAGGTCTGTAACCCTCTCTGGACTCTGCAATCTTCATCTCAGTTTTTTCTGCAATCTACAAAACACACCAGATAAGTCATTAAGAACATATCACAGTTATGAAATTCTTCAGCCTAAAAATATTTGTATGGTGTAGTTTATACCTGCTGTTTTTCTGTGATCTCAGTGGACATGATCTTTGCAGAGTCTAAAATCTGAATAGCGCTCTCATCCTCCAAGATATTCCCCTCAGAAGACTGAAGAGTTTCAAGGATTTTGTCTTCAATTTCCTTTAGTTGCCTCTTATTGTCAGCTGACTGCAGGATTAATGTGTTTCTCTCTTCTTCCAGTTCTGGCCTCCAGTGCACAAGAAAAAAACAGTGGTGTTAAAAGCTGAATCACTAGATTTTAACAGTAAGTTCCCATAATAGGGTATATGCTAATAATACACTGCTGACTGCAAAGAACTGTAATTGTGTTTTAATTTCTTAAGATAACTAGGAGGGTGGATTTCCAGGGACAAAGACTTTAACCATCCTAAAGGGTTTAGGTTCCTTTGAAACAGTTAGACACAGCAGACAGTATTTGTTTTTAATTCTTTTAAACACTGACACATTGGCATCATGAGATAATTTATACATCAGCTATTAATTTTTCAGTTAGAAGGCAGTACATCATTATCCTTCTTTGGGAAACATAACCAAAACTTTAAAAGCTACAGTGTTTAATACAGGCATTTACTGACAAATTTACTATATTATGCATAAGAATGTTATTTATTATCATCCACAAACTGAAAGTCGAAATCTTTATGTTTGCATTACCTTAGAAACTGTAATTTATAACTACAGTAAATAGGAGCAGATTATGCATGTATGGAGGCAGACATCCTTGTGCTACAACAGAGCAGAGCTGACAAACTAGTGACTGTTAAGATTAACGCTCAAATTTGAGTGCTGCACATTAGGCTTATATGAGGAAGAGGAGCAGTGGGAAATCAGAGTGAGAACACCAGCTGAAAGAGCAGTAGAACTCGGACAAAGTGAACAGCCATGCCCCCTTCTGTAGCACAGCGGTAGAGGCAGCAGTCTGCTGGTGCTAGTTCAGGATTAGAGCTGAGGAGCATATCTGTACATTGGAGAAACCTGCCAGTCAAACAGAGCGGCTTGTCCAGGCTAGTTATAGAGGCTAACTTCAAATGATCAAAAGAGCACAGCAGTTGATCAGAGAAGTCCGCCGAGCAGACAGAGTGCTGAAGATGGGGGAGAGGGGCTGCGGCTAGACGGAAGAAGGACAGGGGGCATCTGGGTGGCTGATGGTGGCCTTTAGAGGCTAGCTGTAAGAGGTGGAAGAGGAGCTTGCAGGCAGACAGTGTAGAGAGAAGGCAGCAGCTGGTTGTTGTTTGCGCTAGAGGTGGAACGATGAAACAGTCCCTCTACGGCTAAATTGAAATGGCTTTTTTAAAAGCCACCCACAAAGCTCTTCAGAGCATCCCCTGCTTTGTCATTTTCCAACATTATTTTTTATCATAAGAGCTTGTCTCTGCTGCATACTTCACTGAAACATAGGCCTGGTTCCTTCTCTTTTCCTAATTTTTGTACTTATTAATACAATGTTAATGTACATGAGAAACAAGAATTTATTTGACGCTGTGATCGAGTCCTACAATCCTAATTGGTGCATCTATATTGTAAACAAACTTCTCATTACTTGACAACATAGGCGATGCAGACTTTGTGTACGACATTTGTACCATGATGCCCTCCGTATTAGTGGAGGGCAAGAAGCAGAAGGGGAGCAGTTCATGTCACTGCAGTCTGACCATTAGATGTTGCTATTGTTGACACACTGCAGCTTTAAACATTTCTGTTCAGTATAAGTGACAAACAAATGTCATTAAACACAAAACTAAAAACATACAGTGCTTCAAGGCATTGATATATCATGGATATTTTCAATACCTTTTTCTCTGGTAGTAACTCTGACCATACTTTAGTACAATTTTTTGGTGTCAATATCTGTTTCATACAGGAAATTTCACTAGTTGCTTGCTGCCTCATTCCTCCGTTTTTAAATACAAGAACAAAAAGCTGTGCAAACCAACATCATGCAAACACGATGTTGGTTTTAAGGTTCATAAAATTATTATTTTTTTTTTCCATAAAAATATTTGACATTTTTGAGATTTCAGCTAATTTTAAGACTTTAAAAGTCTTCTTTGGTCCCTAGCCCTCCTGGGATTATCTATTAGCTGCAGCCTCTGAGTCCAGCTAATCTGAATTTAGAATAAAGGAAGATCTATCATGGCTGGATGTTAAAACTTTAACACAACCTTAAAATCCAGACTTTTTCATTTAACATATTCCATTGATGTATAAATAGAGCCCACTTAATGCTACCTCTCTTTAGCAACCACGATCCCCAGCAACTGGTCTTCCAAACCCTCTGGTGTGATCATGAAATTGAGGAGAGACACTTTAGTGGCCAGGTCAGGCAGGTAGTGTGGGTTCCTGAGCTTGGTGGTGATGTAGAAACGGAAATCGGCTGAAAACTCAATCACACTCTCTCCAAGCCTGATGCAATCTACACCACCTACGTAAAAACAAGAAGTTTGTTAACATAGAAATGTCATTTTTTAGTTGGGAGTTACAGTCGGTTTTCTTCCAGTCAATGAGGTTTACACCACCTTGTTTGAAGGTTTGTTTAAGAAGCAGTGGCTGTAGAAAAGGGTCTAGCTCTTCTCCTACATTTTCCAGCAGTAAGGGGGTTCCAAACTGGATGCAGTTTTCTAAGGTTCTTATGTAGTCCCCATCTGTTAACTTGATTACACTCAGGTTGTTGTCCTTCTCTGAATTCTTCACCCACCTGTTGGCTTGGCCCTGAGGATCAATCATTAAAGGCCTAAAAAGATAAAAAAAAAAAGATGAAATTTTTTTTCCCCCCACATTCATCAGGAAATATATTTCTTTTCAAGTTACTTTTAAGTAAAAGATTATACATTTTAAGCAACTGATTGTATAAATGTGGATTTACCATCTGCGTGAATTACTGACGATAACACCATTGTCGATAGACAAAGAGTCGTTGGGAAGGCCTGCAATGTTCCAAGCTCTTATTTTTATGGGATCTCCCAGAGTTTTGCTGAGAGAAAAGTCATCCGATGATGGAATATTCTTAGACTGGACACATTGGAACAGGAAAAAAATTATATATATATATATATATATATATATATATATATATATATATATATATATATATATATATATATGTATATATATATATATATATATATATATATATATATATATATATATATATATATATATATATATATATATATATATATATACACATATATATATATATATATATATATACACACATATATATATATATATACACACATATATATATATATACACATATATATATATATATATATATATATATATATATATATATATATATATATATATATATATATATATATATATATATATATATATATATATATATATATATATATATATATATATATATATGTATATATATGTGTGTATATATAATAGGCAACAAAAATATACCAGCTAAAAAACTAGATGAAAAATATAGAAGGTAGGATCATTACTTGACAGAGACTGGTCCATAACTTGGTGCAGGTCTGTCTGAAGTCAGAAGTAAAAGCTCCCAAGTATGCAATGACACCAGCCGAAATAAGGACATCTCCAGTCAAGTTGTCATATGTATGCTGTAGGTCATCTGCTGCTTTGGCCCATCTACAGTAGGAGATCCCCACATCACATATCAAATGAGGTAAACTGCATTCTGTCATATCAACTGGAGAAATGTAAGACTAAAACACTCTAAAACACTAAAACACTATAAAGACCTGGTCTTCTCTCCACCAAGCCCTCCAATTAGTTTTTCAGCCCTTTCCAGCTTTCTGGCACATAAATTCACTTGAAACTCCAGCTGAGCTTTTTCTTCCGTCTTTTCTTTAAAGGTTTGCTGAAGCGCTGCAAGCCGGTCCTCAACCTCTTTAAGCTCAGCTCTTTTCTGGTCTAGCAGGGTCCTGGTGATAGCCAGAGATTCTTCTGCCTCTGAAAGACTCTGCTTCTTTGGAGCAACTTTCTGAAACCCAAGAGACTTGTTAAATAAAATAAGATTGTACATACAAGCCCTTGAAAAGTGAAAGAACTGCACCTTAGCCGCGCTGTCATATTGCTCTATCGCTTTGATCCACTTGCTTAGGCCCTCTGCAGCAGACGAGGCTTTAGCCACATTTTTAGGCTGAAAATATGGATTATTTACGTACTCATTCCGAATTTTCTGCATAACAGGAACCTGTAATGCAGCAATTAACAGGTTGGTTAAAACAAAAATGTTTTTCTAAAAAAACAATCAAAAAAGGAAGTTTTTGATTCATGTGATCTATAACACTTACTGGGATGTTGTCTTTATCATACTGTTTGAGGTCTCGTAAAAAGTTCATATTACTAAGTAGTTTCTTGCTTGGACCCCAGTAATCAAGAACCTAAGCCAGAAAAAAAAGGAACAGTTTAAAAGCAAAAATAAAATAAATATTAAGCAGGGACATCTTTGAAGGTTACTATCAAACCTTCTTCCCGGTCCCAGCTGGATCAGCTATTTTGTCTGGTTGTATGCCATTCATCACACATACAGCTTCCATCACTAGCTTCACTCCTGAGGGGGGATTTTTCATTGACTTCACAACAGAGACATCGGAAGGCTAAAATAACAAAGACAGAGAGACTTATTTGGATTTTTTTGTTTATGGGGACTGACTGATTTGAAAAGGGGGAAAAAAAAGGTTTAAAGGTACAATGGACAAACCTTTAATGTGTCCAGGGCAGCGATAGCGGCTTCCAGAATAGGGATGACTTCAGCTAATTTAGTCTCACACTCATTTTTCAAAGCCTGAGCCTCAGTAGCTTTTATAGTTGCTGCTTCTTCATCAACTCGCACAACTTTACTTTTGGCTTCCACTTCAACTGATTCCTCCTCAATTACCTGGTAAATACCACATGACATCATGTTTAGGGCCCTCCACAGAACTCCTACGCATCGAACATTTTTCAATTTAATGATACTAACATGTTTTGAGAGGATTTAATACGATAAATTTAGTAGAGGAGAAAATACTTAATATTCTTCGAACGTTTTGATCTCAACTATTCCACTGCTGATCAAAATGTTTTGCTAGATGGAAAAAAAAGTCCTCTCCAGAGTGTTTAACGCTTGGGATATAATCTTATTACCAAAACTTGTTTTAAACATCCCCACAGCTTTAGACTTAGACAGATTTATTTTGTCATTTTGTACACACAAGTGTAAACAAAAATAAATTTTGTTTAGAAATGTATTTTTATTTTTACAGCTTTATGTGCTGTTGCGCAATCCTGAATAGAATTGCTGCATTTATGCTGAAATTCATTTAAACTAGCGATAATATATTTTTGGATGACTTCTGAAAGCTATTGCTTACCTCAGGTTTTAATTAATCATATCAAATTAAAAAGCATTTAGATATGAACACTACATGTTTCTTATTATCATCAATAAAGAATTAATTATCAAATAATAGTTGATATAACTCAAATAAAGTTTTAATTCAGTTTTAGGTATTCTTGTTCTTCAATATTAAAATTCTATTATTTTGTTTTTTTCTCTCAAAAAACTATTGTGACAAAAATGAACAAATTTACATCACCAATGCAATGTATTTCTAATAGCACATAATTGAGCTTTATTGTTATTCAGGTTAGCATTCACAAATACATATCTGGTCTGGAGTAGCTTGAAAAAAGGTTCCTTTATAAATGAGTGTAATACTGATTATCTGACCACCGAAATAAAAGTCAAATTGAACATAAACCAAACAATATATTACAGGTAAGAAGCAACATTAAAACAGCAAAGCTTGGGGGCATTGGGAGAAAATTGATAATTGAAAATCAAGCTGAAGTAGAACTAGAAGAAGACACTGACCCAAAACCCACCTGCAAATCCATCAAGGATTGGCTTGAAAATAGAAAAACCTGCAGTTTATCAAAACCCAGATCTTGATGTAATTTCATTTTGGTCCATGATTTGGCGTTTAACTGATTCTACATGCCGGAATTCCCTCCAATGTCTCACTACTGAAGCAAAGAATGAGGGCACAGTTTCCTTACACTAATGTAGGTAAAACAAGAAATAAGAATGTTGGGTGTCCTGAACTTTTCTTAGTTTAGAAAAAAGACAATTTGTAGGTATATTTTATAAGGAAAAAAGAAAAAATAAGGAATAATGTTTATCTTTTGCTTTTGACTGATAATTAAATCTTTCTATTACAGATAGATAGAAATTATGGAGAACCTAAAATTCGTCTCCTTTATATTTAATGCAGCGACAATATTTTTTCCACATGACTTGTACCTTTATAAACTATAGAATTGATTTTGAGATGCAATGCAGATGTATCGTTACCTTCATCATTTCGATATTATCTATCTTTGCCTTTTCAAGTTTGGGCTGAAGATTTTCTAACTTCTTTTTCATTTCAGCAACCTGCAGAAAAAAGAGCTAGCTTAAAACCTGCAGTTATTTTTGACATTTTAAGGAACAGAAATAAGAAAGGAAAGCAAAACAGAACTAATCTTTTCAACATACCTGCGATTCAGTGAAGGCTAGTTTGTCCAGACCATTTGTATACCTCTGTTTTGCGTTCATGACAATGTTTCTCTGCTGAGTGAGGAGTTGATGGAAAGTAGCGATAAGTTCAAGGTAGGATGTGGGCGTCACATAATTAGAGCGCCCTCGTTCAGCTAGGAATCTGAAATAGAAAGAACATTTTACATTTTCGTTCATTTTACTGGGGAAACATTTAAGTTTCATATAAACATGCCTGACCTCTGTGAGAGCTGTGTGGCAGAGGTGTGAAAGGTTTTGCAGATGGATATGACCTCTTTCATCTCATTTTCACTCAACTCCAGTGAGCCAAGGAAACAATTGGCAACTCGCTCAAGAGCTTCTTCGGGCCATGGCTGTGAGGTTACACCAAGGTTTTGTTTTTATTTCAAAGCATCTGAGATTCAGCACACTTCATTTACAAACAATGACTTCAATATATATGCAAAATACCTGATACCAATCGATAGTGCAGCAGTTTATAAGAGATGGAAATTGTCGTAGACGATTTCGAAAGGCTTTTCCAATAGGACTAAAAGCAACAACAACATGCAGATTCTGCCTGCAGCGTGCAACAAAAAAGGCAAACAGAGTCAATGGGCTTAGCTCCAGATTTTTGTTACCAGCTTGAGCAATGGGACGTATTGTCTGTGAAATAAAGAGAAAATGTTTTAAACATATCCTGAAGAGCAACAAGTAATATTTGTCTTTTTTAATTATTCAAACCAACTTACCTCCAAGATTTCTTGTTTCTCATCTACAGCAAACAGATTGGGCACCTCTCCTGTGTTTAGGACACTGTCCACATCTTCCAGAAAAGCCTCATCCTTGACCTGGGCATCAGTTATCAAGAACACGGTCTTCTGTCCTTTAACCCCAGCATTCTTTAGCAGCATCTACAATATTCAGCATACTCTATGTAAACATATCAAAGTCATCATTTAAAATGTACAGTTCATTTCATTAACACCCTTTAAACCTTTTTTAGTTTGGTGATTCTGCAACCAAAAGAATTTTATTGGATTAGAATTCAGCGTGTTAAATCTATACAAAATATTGCTTCGCGAAGGGGTGAACTGAGGGGGGCAGCTGTGGGTCACGTTTAAAGTACTTTTCTGGCAATCGGACATTGTTTCCAGCTTCTCCGCACCCAAGTTGAAGCAGCAGATTGGAAAAAACACTGCCTCTTTTTTGCACGAATAGTGTGAGCAGATGAATGGGATGTGTAGTCCTTTGGGTGGAAAGAATAAGAAAAATGTTACATAGATTTACTGTAGAATTCACATAATTAAACCAGTCTTTTTTCATGCAAATGTCTGTGTAAGGACAGGGGATTTGGTTTAGTTTAAAGTAGGGTTAGTTTATGAACTAATGAAACTTATTACACTACAGTGTTCAGCCTAACTAAACAGAAAGGCCAGGAGAGGGGAGAATTAATCAGCGAAGCAGCCAATAGAACGTATACATTAGCTAGAAGGGCTACAGAGATCCACAGCTCAGAACAACTATTACTGATGTACTAAACAGATCAGGTCCTACTAAAAGAAGCAGAAAGAAAATATTGATCAGAATATTTGTGATTTACAAACTGAAATGTTTGGCATTATTTCAGAAATCTTTTACAGAGAATACAGACCTAAAAACATGCAATTTTCTTAAAGAACATCCCATTCAGAGTTATGATTTAGACAAAACTGAACAAAAAGCAGGCCTTTTGCATTTAAGATAAAAAAAAACATCCCATGTCTGCTACAAAGTTCATCAAGAGACATAGTTTTAGCTCATCTGGTTCAAATTCCATTAAAAAATATATCTCCTATTAAGTATCTTTTGCTAAACAACATTAGTTGCAGGACTAAGCAGAAAGCACTTTATGTAAGCTATGACAGATCCTCTTTTCCTTGAAACAAACAAATCAATGCAGAGGAAAGATGTTCTGGTCAGATAAAATCAAAACTGAACCGAAGATGGCCAGAACAAAAAGAAAGACATGTAGGTCTAAAAAAAACCAGCATCCCTGGCAAAGGCTGCCGAAGACAATTCGAGTGCAGACGTTTACCTCCCATGGAGGGAGAGAAAACATAAAAGACTACCATGAAAAGGGGATGAATTTAAATGCAAACTGCACTTTTCTTGTTTATTTAGTAAAATAAGCAATTTTTTACCAGTACTATTAAACTTTATTATATAGTATGAGAGAGAAATATGTTTCAAGCAAAGACCCAAACCTTGAGGTCGTCCCTCCACTCTGTCATGCCATAACTCTCAGTGATCTCAGGTTGAACCAGGGTCATATGTGCCATTGATGTGGCCAGGCAGGTGATGGACTGGCGGCCGCTGCCTCCAACTCCCACAAGCAGAGCATTGCCTCCGGGCTGCTTCAGCACACGGCTTATACGTGACAAGTGCTCCAGTACATAACTACACAAGGCAGAGGCTTCTCTCAGGTGACTAATTCACATTTTAAATGCTTGGGGGGAAAAAAGAGATGTTTACCGAAAGATGACGAGGTTCATGTGATTCTTGTGCATCTCATTGTATTCTTTGAGACACGCTTCCACAACCTCACCAAAGGTTTCTATTGATGGCACCTCAGCATACAAGCGCTCATCATCCTCCAGCTGAGGGTTCATGTAGTCACCAAACAGAAGGTTTTGCATGTCATCCTCTTCCAGCTACAAAGGGAGAGCGATCCGTTATATTTCATTGCTTCTCTTTGTTTAAATCGTGAATATAAAAACCAAAAAATCTTATTTTGTTCAATTACAATTGAGTCTAGTATGTCTATAAAACATATTAAATACATCTAAAGTCTAACATACTTTGCTGCCTTGTTTCAGATGATCGAAGACCTGGTCAAAGGACTCTTTGAAGTGATCTTTGAGGATGCTGGTCATCAGCCTGAAGAGCCATGTTCTGTCTTTGTCATCCACAAGACGGTCGTAGAATACACGGAAGACCTCATGGACAAACAGGCGTATCATAGTATGCTTGTTTTGCAGAGACTCCTTCCTGAGCAGCAGGCAGCCTTGAATGACGCGAGAGAAATCTCGTAGATTGAAAGTGTAATGAGATTTGGATGGAGTTGGAAGAAGGTTTTTCATTGCTTTCTTATATACCTTTGAATAAAACAAACAAAAAAGAGTTAGACACCTGAAAAAAGATGCAGGGGGGCCTACTAAAGATAAAAGGAAAACAGAGTGGCTTACAAAACTATTCAGTCCCCTTGAACCTTTTTGTTTGTAAAAAAGCAAAGGTAGTTCCAGATAGTCCAATGGGATTTTATTTAGTCCATTTAGGGATATATTGAGACACAAAAGTTTAAGGGGAAGAATGCTTTCTAATGGCCTGAAAATGTATAATCTTTTACTAATTGATGTAATTACCCAGCCTTGTGCTAATATTACTTCAGGATATTTCTACATCATAGGGGGCACTCACTTCCATTGTTGCTTTTACTATATTTTTGCCAGCAGTATAACATTCAGTAGGGAATGCATTGTTTTTCAGATAGAAAGCCATGATGTTGGAGAAAATGTGGACCATGGTGTCATCGCTGAAGGGGTTTATGCTAAAAATGTTGAAATGCCGAAGAAACCGAGAGGTCACTGCGTTCCTTCCGCCACCAGGTGGCCCCATTGCACAGATGAGCTGGAGGTCAACAAGAGTAATCTTGGATGTATCCTTAATGTCATACCTGAAAGAACATTAATGGGGACATCCAACTCATTTTTCAGAAGAAATTATTAATCACATGTCTCTCTGTTGAATGTTTAGAGTTGCCTCTAACAGCCGGGTGTTTACCAGTTTCCGTGGTCCATGAACTGCCTCAGAAGCTCCACAGGGGGCTGGGCCCCAAACTGTTCCAGGGCAGGCATGCTCATGTCATCTACAAATATGACACACTTTTTTCCCAAAGGAGGACCAAACACCCCTTTCCTTCTTTTATCTAATCTTGACATGATTATATTCTGTGAGATTCAACAAAGGTACAGTAAATTTTAGAATGCTGAGAGGTACTTTACTTTATAAAAAAAACATTGTATTTATAGGACAGATTTAAACAATTAATAAACTATAAACATCCTTAACTCTCACATTACCAAATTAAAACAAACCTGGGTTTGGTTGGCACTTGTCCGGGCTGAAAAGTTAATAAAAAATGGCAGAAAGCTGTCTTTCTCCAGATTGTTCATCAGCTTCTCCTTTACATATACAGACTTCCCGGTTCCAGTAGGGCCGACAAACAGAGGGGGACTGTTGAGATCAATTGTGTATTTAAATAAAAGCATGTTAACTACAGTAACTTACAATAATACAAAATGCTAGTCTCCAGTTTAACCACACTCATCATTTGAATGAATGTTATAGGGCTTTATAGTCCTAATTATGCATTGTACTCCTTCCTTTTCCAGTCTTGAGGGATTGTAAAAAATAAGAATTCAGTGGGTTGTTAAAACCAGAATTAGGTGCAAAGTTTAGCATGGAATATTAACTTTCTCCAATCCAATAAAGTTTAAAGTTATGTATAAAGCTTCACCTGTATAGTACATGGCTAAATGTCCTTTAGTCAGTCACAAACAAGCAATGTGCAAGGTTCCGGCATAATTATAATCAGAATTTTACAATCTACTTTTTTTAAATAGCCTCTCCAAGGAGGTAACGTTTTTTGTAGCATTAGTTCTTTTTTTTTTAGATTTTAGATTTTTAGAATACAGGGCTTTTCAAAGTTGGAGCCCCTACCACTACCAGGGGGAGTCAGAACCCTGGAAAGTGTAACAATAGCCAACTTAAGTTTGTAAAGATATAGACCTACTCATCCTGTTTACATCCACATATTTATTTGAATGGGATAATATGTTTTTTTTTTCATACCCTTATTATATTCCAAGGATGTATATCAAGGAGGTTTTTAGTAGCATTGGTTTGTTATTCTGTTTGCCAACATGGAGCCCATAAAACTTTGATGGTAATCTGGATCACAATCCTAATTTACACCTTCTTTGTTTTTATTTATTTTTTGTAACGCAAACTTTTAAAAATATTTAAAAAAAAAAATTTAAAAGGAAAGAGGTGAGGGCCTATTGGCCTATATGGAAATTGGTTACAACCATTAGTAACACCCGTGTAACCATCAAGGCGTAAGCTGAAAATTCACTGGAATAAACTGGGTCACTAGTTTTGCTATTCATAGATAGTGTTGCGGTGATGCCATTTTTTTGGGCCCCGATACTGATACCCAATACCCAAGGGCGCAGATAGCGTGTACGTCAGGGGTGTTCTGACGTACACAGATTCGAATGACCCTCAATCCGTCCCCCCCACTTTTATAAAAAAAAAAAAAAAAAAACATACGGCGAAACTCACAGAAAATCAAAAAGCTTTTTCTAATTTACTGCTTTGCAACAACAACATAAAACAGTCAGATCATAGACAGGCAATCGTTTTGTTTAACTGCAGACTGCCTGCGTCGTAGAGATTCTAATCTAAAAGTTATCCTGTCTCTGGCGTTTACGTCTCGAGCCTGGTTTCCATGGTTACTCAGACAGACAGTAGTGGCGGGACAGTTCCCAATTCCGGAGTCCGGACATCAACATGAGGCCAGCCAAACCGAAAAAACAGAAAACAATTGCATCCTTTTTTCGAAAAGCACCAACTGTAAGTAAACTGTTCATTGCGGTATCATCACCTTGCATTTTTTTGGTTGTCTGTTCGATGTCGCCGTGGAAAAAAGAGTAGAGACGGTCAGTGAGAATAGCGTGAAGAGAGGTGCCAATGTCATAAGGCGGGAGGCAGGGGGAATCGACTGGCATTTATTTATTTATAATTAAATCGACTGTTCCGACTTTTTCTGGAGTTGTTGGGGGTCTTTCAGAAATGTGTAGGCTACAGTAGGCTACTTGAATCCGTATTTATGCCAAGCCAAATGGTTTAGGTTGTTACAGGTTGAATCATGAGAAAAACGAACTTCAAAGCTAGACAAATTCCACTACACAGGGGCGGATTTAGAAAATTTGGGGCCCTAGGCAAAGACAGGCATGGGGCCCTCTGAATTGAGAAGACAACATATAGAACAGACCCATTATACAGATACAGAAATTTTAATAGAATAGAAATTTGAGGATGTCATGTATCTTCAAGTTTGTCTATGTCACTGTAACTCGGAGGAAAAAATAACTCTCATATATATATATATATATATATATATATATATATATATATATATATATATATATATATATATATATATATATATATATATATATATATATATATATATATGTGTGTGTGTGTGTGTGTGTGTATATATAAATAAATAAAAGGTGCATGTCACAGGAAAGACTAGTGATGTTACAAATATGACAATTGCTTAAACTACAGAACAGTAAATTATTTAATCTATAATTAACATGGCCCTTAACATCCCCAGCTGTACACAATAACACACATTAAAGCAATGTTAATACAAAGCTGTAAAGTAGAGTGAGACGTTGATAATAAATTCCTTATGTTTTTTGAATGTATAAATTTAATTATAAAGGACTAAAACACCTAAAACTTATGGGTGATTTTACAACATTTAAAAGCCTGAGATTTTACTGAAATTGGGGCTACTGGGGCTCACTGGCCTTAGATGTAATGAGCGAACTGGAAGTGCTGAATACGTCGCTCCAAAAAAGCACCCAGACATTGGAGGGCATGGTCTCTGCAGTCTCAGTTGTCCAAGAGAGATTACGGGACAAAAGATAGCCAGCCCACTTTGAGGCAGTCTTTAAGGAAGCAGTGGATATGGCTGAGAAGCTGTCTCTAGAGCCCATTGCTCTACCTCGAACACATAGGCCCCCAAAGAGATATTCTGGGCCAGCACCTGCACACAGGCCAGAATCTGCTGTGGAGTACCACAGAGTGGAGTTCTACAGAGTCCTTGACAAAGTAGACACACAACTTTCTTCATTTGAGGCCATTTATTGAAAAGCCATGTAAAGTACTTATTTACAAATTTGTTTTTGTATATATGTAGGCTTTGCTGTTCGTGTTTCTGTGTGTTTACAGCCTGCACTTAAAGTCAGTCCATGTTTAAATAAAACCTTTTTTTTTTCACACGTCATGTGGCATGTTTGGTGAGTACTTGGTACCAATACATGTTATTTTCTTGCAATGATGGGCAATTAAGATTGATGGGTTATCATAGCTGAGTAATAGCCAGTAATAGGGCTCGGGATCCACGTTGCATTGTGGGACGTCGCAGCCATACTGACTGCTACGCAAACGTAAGCATAGCTCTGACACGTTGTTGTTGAAAGAAGAGACAGAAGTAGAGAGAAAAAAGATGTTAAAATCCCGAAAAGGATCTGGAATTTACCGGGACACATTAAATAGAGAAGCCAGGGACCGGTATGGTGACAAAATCAGCATTATTAATAATTTGGATCCATATAAAGTTCCAAACAATGAGTGGAGCACCAATGAGTGAGCGCCTATACTTCAAAACAGTTCCGAAGCTACAAGTCCTTGGAGTCTCATGTGCAGTTCATGAATAGATGGGTTCAGGAGCTGCAGATCATAAAGCCAGCAAACAGTGGGAACAGAGTAATTCGTACAAAGGTAAGCTGTGATCAGAGGGGCTCTGGAACCTGCTAGTTTAGCAACTGCTAACCGCTAATGCTATCAACCACTCACGCATGTAATGTACTTTTAACTAGCTGCTATGTGTTTCAAAGATGTAGTTAGTAACGTTAACTGCCAACCCTCCGGGTTTCTGGCGTATTTGAGCATTTTCCCGCTGCCGTTTTTATTATTTTCCCGTAAAAGATCCCAACTTTGAAGGAAAGAAACAAAGTAGGCTATAAAATAAAACCGTGTATCTTTAACTTACCAGAATGAAAATGCAGGGAACACACTCTCATTGACATCGGAATACTGTGGAAAGTTATGTTCGGTCGTCTTACAGCCGCGATCCAAGCTAGCCGACGACTCTTTATCTCTGACGCTTGGTCTCCATGGTTACGCGTCCATTCAGGAAAGCGGTGGAAAGTTAACCCATTTTCTATGTTTCCATGGCGATCATGTGTTGAGCTGTTACAGCCCACAACACAGCAACGGTTTACCATGGTTGAAATCAAGTTAAGGTGAAATTAATCAAATTAAAACACGGCTGAGAGGGAGCACAGTACGCGGTAGTCATAGGCAGTAGTCTGAGCTGCGGTAAAAGACGCATTCAACATGGCGGCGACGCGAAGTGCTTACGTCACGATGACCAAGCCCTATAGTAACTGTCCCCCACAGTTTCAAAAACCTATCTGCGCCCCTGCCAATACCCGATACCTGGCTGTGCATTATTGGCCGATACCGATACCATATGTTTGAAATTGATGTGTGTGTGTGTATATATGAAGAACTGCATACTACTTGGGTGTAAAATAATTGCCATCATGGCTTTGTCAAGCTGCTGCCTACCTTTGTGAAGCAGGAAAAAGACTAATACAAAGTGAATCCAGTAGAACTTTTTATTGCCTACCTGGAATTGGTCACAAAAGTTGAATAAACTTATTGCTCTGAAAATGGCATCGGTGCCCTATTTGTTGGAACTCGCCGATACAGATACCACCATTTTAGTGCTAGATCGGGGCCCCGCCCGATACTGGTATTGATCTGTGCATCACTATTCATAGTAGATGAATTCAATGCCAGCATGGGCTGCAGAACTGAAAAAACACCTTTAAGTTTAAATGAGAGTAACGGAGTTCTATATGGAAAAGCCAAATGTCTACTTGACAAAATATTTATAGCCAGGTTAAGCTATTTGGCAAAACATGAATCTACCTGGGTTTAGAATTGGTAAAGCAAGCTTGCATTAGGCTTCTGGAATTGCATTGCATCACATTTTGCCATACCTTTGAATCTAAGGTCATGTCCAAGTTTATTATTGTAAGTTTAAATGATCTCTTCCAATATTGTCAAACGGAAAAAACTAGTTTGAAAAATAAAATTTATAATAATTAGAGTAACCAAAATGTTCAAACAGAATTATATTGATTATTAGTTTGTTTATATATACTTAAATTTATATTTATCATTTAGATGCTGTATGGATTACAGAAAATAAACAATGAGGTACAACTAATGCATTTTATTCTTGTTTTTAAGTTGCTTATTCAATCACCTTTAAATATTCATGCCCATGATAGGTGTATGTAAATTCCTGGAAAGCACTATACATAAAAAGCACATTTGTAGAAGATATCAGTAAAAGTAGATAAAGTAAAATATAAGATTACTGACATGCCATGTTTGATGCAGAGGTCCATTATGTAAGTGTAGCGAGCAGTGTCTATGGTGGGAACAATGATCTCCTGCACCTTTGTGTTTTTATCTCCAAGGTTAATGTTTTTAATAACCTCGTTCCAGTGTACCCATTTGCCTCTTCCTTTAAACTGCGAAAGAGTTTACATAATAATTTATCAACTTGACACTAATCAAGAAAATATCTTAATATAAAAGCAGAATACCTCATAGAAGTAGTCATACACCAGGCCTTTATCACCCATTAGACACTCCCATTTCCCAAGTTTTTCAGGGATTGGACATTCCTTTGTTTCTCCAGAAAGTGTTGCCTTGAGGAACTCACTGAACCTCTCCCTGCTGTCTGCATCACAAGCACCCCCCACAGACCAAACCAAGGAGAAAGCAAAAGCTGCCTGCAAGCAAAAAGAACAGATGAAGAAAAAACGCAGCAGCTTAATTTACCTGATTAAAACTAACAAAAAGTAGGTGTCTTGTTTATGTTTGGTTAATATCAAAGGTAAGTGAGATCAGCTTGATAGATTAATTATACCATGATCCAGATATGGATGTTTTTATCCCCTGGATTCATCTTCACTGGCTCAGTGAGAAGCATCTCAAACAGTCGACACAGGGAAACCACAGTATTACTGTTGCTGGTGGAAACAACCTCCTGTGAAAAGGTCTAGATGATCACATCTATACATTTTTCATAAAATCCAGAGGAACATGTAGGTAATAGAAAAGTTTTGCATTAAGAAATCAATGCAGGGAGCCTAGTTTACCCTGCAGTGCTTGCGTAGCATATTGATGGAAGGCGGAAGGAGCCAGTGGAAAAGCTCCAGCAGCAGGGAATGGTATTCCAGGGTCTGCAGAGCATCAGGAAGAGTGTTCATCCAGGAAATTACTAAAGGCTTCCAGCCTAGCTGAGATGGCTCCATATAGATCATACCACATCGGCTGACTGTGGCAGGCTGTAGATACAAAAAATGGCTTTAAGAAGGTGCTAAATAAGTCGACATAAAGTTAAGTGGGCGACAAAATAAGTTAGGAATTAATGACAGTAGCTCTATACCAATAAATTAACTGCACATTTCTAACTTACAGAAGCTTGCGATAAATCCATTGCTTCAAAAATCAGACTCATCTGACTGGACATCTGAATTATCTCACCACTCATCAGGCACAGCTGTCAATCAGAATTAGAGGAAAAATACTCATGATATGAAAACCCTTTAAGCATGTCTATTATTTCTTTTTAAAATATGTACCTTTTTATTGTCGTCCAGCACAGTGTTCATGCTCTCAATCCACAGTGTATCTATTGGGCCGTCAAACACCACCCAGTGGCGCTCTGGAGTGCTAGCCAAAGCAAACTCCCGAAAAGTGTTAGCCACAATCCCATCTGTCCACTGATAAAAAAAAAAAACCAGAATGGGCAGCAGATTATTGTACAGTTACTTTGAAAAGTAAAATTTTCCTATTTTCTACGCTACAGCCACAAACTTAAATGTGTTTTAATGCAACTGATTAAGGTTTCCATACCAACCAAAATAGCCAGAAAATGTAATGTAAAGGAGGAGGATAAATAAATTTGGGTTTTTGAAAAACCTTAAAATGCAGTTACAACTCCAAATCATGTTTAATGTCTCTATCCACTTAACATGTTTAGAGACTGAAATTTTCTGAATCTGGATCTGACTTTTCACTTCAAAATAGATAAAACTGGATAAAGATCAGTTTGATGCATGTTATTGATTGATGTCTGGCTTTAAGGTGAATCTGAATCCTAGTCATACATATTTATTTGCCACTCATACAATTTTGAATAGAATAGAAAAGTTTACTCTGGCTACATCTACCCACTGCACTCTCCTACTTAGAACATGATACATTGTATGGATACCTTAGAAAACACAAAATATTAACAATTTGAATTAACAGATCATGCTTTCATGAGTCATTCAGATTATTCAGCCTTACCTCATGCGAAACCAGGTCAAACTGTCCAAAGAGCTGTCCCATAGTGCCTGACTTTGGGTTTAATGTCCTGAAGATGACTTTCTCCTCCTCTCCATATCCTTTCTCATTCATTAGACTCAGAGTGTCAGCTAAAACATGCAGCACCTTTGTCTTACCAGCAAAGGGCTCTCCCACCAACATAAACCTGGAAAATACTTCTTTCATGTGAAATCGTCTTCCATCCCCAATATAACACATCAAAATGTAAAAATGACATACCCATGTCTAACTATCATCATCTCGTATGTCTGGATCATCTTTTGTAAGAAGACTTCTGTTGGTTGCAAGTTATGACTTTTACAGCACTCTTTAGCAGTCTCTAAGAACAGCTGGTAAAAAAGACAGCATTTGAAATATTTGAAAAATATTCATTTAGAATTAAAAGATATTATATTGAGTAAAAATAGTAACATATCAGACCTTATAGTCCGCTTCAGGAAGGGAGATGCCCGGGAAAAGATCGCTGGTTATTCCATTAAACAAAGGAATATCGTGGGACAGAAACTTGGGCTCATTAACATCCTTTATGGATCTCAGTAGCTGAATGTTACAACATGAGGCAGACAAATGTAAATGTTAATGAATTAATTAAGACTTATAAACCAGCTAACATTAAAGGCTTAAACTATAAACAATAATTACCAGAATGTCCTCATTCTCATTGGGATACTTGAGTTTAAGGTTTCCTGCAGCCACAAGCACTGCTTTAACAGCCCTCATGCCGTAATCATAGTGAAACTGGGAGGAGAGCTGCTCTGAACAAAGCCTGTAGGTCATCACAATCTTTACTGACAGTGGTTTGGCATTCAGGAAACCATATGAATATAGAGAGATCTCTGCTATCAGGGCGTAGTTTGGGACCATCATAGCCACAGTTCGGAACAACACCTGCAAGGAGGAAAAAGGACAGGTATTGTTTATCTTATCCTTGTATTGTTGAAACATGCTTACGTGTCATTAACCCAAGATAGACCAATCTCACAGTTCAATGCTGAATTATAGTCAAAAGGTAGATTTTTGTTTGAGATCAAAGATTGATGATTGATCAACCATCAGGCAATCAAACAATTCTAGCTAATTACATGGGGCATTCAATAAGTAATGCCCCTGCCACACTACCAGATGTTTGATCTAGCTAAAATTTTGCATGTGAAGTTATTTAAGTCTCTATAGATTAAATAGCAAATTACAGGTCTGAACTATTTGTGGTTTCTGACTTACAGGTGTTTGAACTGAGTAAAGTCTAAAATGGAGCCTGTTGAGTGTCGAGCAGTGATCCGGTTTTTCTAATGGAAAGGACTCACACCACGGGAGACTTTTGATGAACATAAAGTAACTTATGGTGATGATGCCCGTTATATGACCTTGCAAAATCTTTTAAAAGGTCATATTATGGGACATTATCACTATAAGTTACTTGATCAAACGTCTCCCATTGTGTGCGTCCTCTCAAATGCAAAAACTCAGACTTGACTCGGTTTAAACACCAGTAAATCAGAACCCACAATTAGTTCAGAGCTGTAATTTGCAATTTAATCTATAGAGATTTAAACAACTTCACATGCAAAATTTCAACTCGATCAAACATCTGGAAGTGGGCCAGGGGCATTGGTCAAATCGTAATGATTGAAACAGCAACATTTTAATCAATGTTGATTCAATGTATGCTGTTTGTCAAAACCCCTCTCCTCTTTGAGTTTTGAGTGATAGCATATTATGATTGGGCTGGGGTTTGAAATTAATCACCATATGTTGAGGACAGTGAGCTGTGATTTTCAGATATTCTTATTTGTCTGTCAATATCATTATCTAGCATTTGTACAGTACATAATGTTTTGTCCCCACATTACTAGAAGGTGTGGAACGTCCCCCAATTTACACGAGTGGTATGTCTCAACCAGACAACTACATCCGGGCTGTCTTGACCCATTCAATTCCCAACATGTCATCGCAAAGCACTTTACAGAGACAATTCAGCCAGATCACACACTCAGATTTGTTCAACGTTTTCCATCTAAGGAAAACCAGCTGATTGCATCGACTCATTGACTTGAAAGCAATCCGGCAAACCAAGCATGCTTCTAGAGACAGTTGAGAGGAAAACTACTTTTTAACAGAAAGAAACTTGAAACAATATTTATATAGTATTAGTTATGGTTGAAAATGTAATGTTGATTCACTGTGCAAGTCACCAACCAATTTTTGTATAATTTAGATTTCAGGCTCCAGATGTATTTAATATTTCTGTTTACCGGTAACTATGTTTCAGCATTGATACACTCATATTTGGCTATCTGGGACTTGATTAGGTACATTACAGTATGTGATTTTAATGAAATACTAAATGGAAAAATGAAAGGAACAATACCTTGAGGTTGTCTGGAAGTTCTGAGCGTCCTGCATAGCCAGGGTTCATAGTTATGGAAACAAAGCAGTTGGGATTTAGCCTGAGTTTAGTTCCTTCAAACTCAAAGTACTCAAGTTTCTGTTCTATGGCCCTCTGGATGCACAGAACCTGCTGGGCCACTACAGACAGCACCTCCAGCTCAATACGGTTGAACTCATCAAAGCATGCCCAAGCTCCAGATGAAGCTAGACCTTTAAAAAACTACACATTGGATTGAAAACAAACATTTAAATTAGTCTGTTGACACGTATGACAATAAACATACAATTGCTAGAGAAGAGTACTTTTCCCATGGAGAGATAATCCAGTCCATCTGAACAGTTAAAGACCACGCACTGCACAGCGAGTGCTTTGGCTAAATCCTTGGTGGTTTCAGTCTTTCCTGTCCCAGCCGGACCCTCAGGTGCCCCACCCAGGTTCAGGAAGAAAGCTCCAATCTGTTTCAGAGGGGGTGGAATCTGTTTTGTGCATTTCTCAGTGAAATAAAAAAATCAATATTTATATCTAAAAATATGATGAACTATTTTCTGAATTTTAGAAAAGACCTGCCCTCTCCACTTTTAAAAACAATGCTCATACTGATGTACCCAATCCCTAGAGCTAATGCCTATTAAAAGCATGGAATGAGCACGTAGGACAGCCTTACGTAAACATATCACCAGAACGATTGAAAATTAAGAGGACCAATTATTTTGATGATCCACCCGGAAAAAAAACATCCTCCACTATACCTTTAAGTTAACTTTAAAACACATTTATAAGCCTTTTTTGGGTTACCAGAGTTCTGTAGCATCTGTCAGTCAGAGGAGTGATGACCAGACGTGGAGAGTTCCCCAGGTATTCGTAGGCGTATTTAACATCACAGTTGATAATGCGAACGCGAACGTTGTCGTTGCTCCAGTAGTAGCGAAGCTGAGCTAGCCACTGAAAGTCAGTTTCATGTGATACACCTTAAACAGACAACAACTGTAAGTTTCTTTGAACTGTACTGGGGATGTTTTATTTATTCAAATTATTTCAATCACATGTACCTTTCTCAATAAGCTCCATGACAACATCCCGGGCATGGACATCAATCGTGACCAGAGCTCCCAAAGTGATCCGGGTTTGCTTGGCAAGTTTTCCTCTCACAAGTTTTATGATGTCTTCTAGTTGATTTTTCAGCTGATGATAATAGTTTTTTATACCCTACAGAGAAAACCCCAATACAGTTACATTATTTTAAATATTTTCTATAGAGTGAATGAGATTGAATTTCAAATTAATTTTGCATCCTTTCTTTTTTTTATTATTTCTTATATAATGAATAATCTTTTTTCATCAGTTTTGAAAATGATCCGTTGGATTTAGGAATTCTTAGAATTATTTTGAAAAAAGAAAAATAGTAATCAAGCAGAATAAAACTCAGAAGAGACTCACATCCGGCCCTGCTCTGATGGCCTCATGAACCTCCAAAGTCCAAAAAATCTGAGAGGTGCAAATAACGACCTGTCCAGGCCACTCTGTGACCCACTGGTTCCGTGAAGTCTCGCCATAAGCCTGTCCATTTAACAACAGGGAAAGGTTGTTATTTACCACAAGGGTCATGGTATCATATGTGAACAGTTAACTTACACTCCTCATCAGCATTGACGTCAGTTTTGAGAATTAAATGGTGCATTTTTTCCCCCCGCATGAGTCTTTATGCAACAAATAACTTAATTGTGTTTTCTTTTAGGCCTTTTTTCGCACATGTGTGATTTTCTTCTTATTTTCTTCTACAGACCTTCTTCAGAAGAAAAAAATTTACATAAACACTTATTTTTTGGGGCCATAAACAAGGTATTGGCATAATTCTGACCAAAGACTGTTTTTAGCTGAGATAGTAAACTTTATTAAAGTTTGAGACAAACGTTTAACAATTTAGCTGATGATTTTTTGTTGATTTGAATAAACTTAGAGGTTATCATGCTATTTTATTATGCCACCCACTTTGTGTGTTGCCCCATTACCACTGGCAGGGAATGGGCCCTCAGCATGATCATATCACTGCCATGTTTGACAGTTGTTACTGTGTTAATTTCTCATCTAAACATGATCAATTTCAAATTAGAGCATTTAGCAAAACCTAGAGGTTGATGGCTAAAACAGCATCATAAGATTTTAACCACAATATTAATATTTAAATGTTATAACAATTTAAAAAATAAACAGAGGGATGTTAAAATCGTAGGGAAATGGCTGTTCAAACCGTTGCATTTCCAAATTTTCCCGAGTGGTGCACAAATTTACAGGAGTGAATAAAATGAATGCGATTGGTCGTTTATCAAGAGGGCGGGGTTGTTGTGGCGGAAGGGTCAGAAGGAAGTTTGGTTGTGGCCGGTGTATCGGAAGCATCTTGCTAACTAGTTAGCAACTTAGTGCTAGTAGGTTCCCAATGGGAAATTACATTGGGACCAAGTAGCACTAAATTGGTAATGTTTCCACTGTCAAGGAACGCTATGGACAGTGGAAACATGCAAGGAGAAGAGTTTTTAGTTGGAGGTCGTGTATGTGTCTCCTTCATCATACGCTTTTTATTTAGAGGAGGAAAGCGGGGACAAAGTTGTTGTTGAAGAGGACATCAGGGCGGCAGAAGTTTTGTTAGGTGTAGAAGTCTTACAGCCGACACAGACGTCCATCCCCATGAACACTGGGACGTAACTCAATGGTAAAGTAAATGATTCTTATTTCTTATTTCATCTGTTTCGTATATTAGGTGCGACATACGAATCAAGATGCTATGACCGAAAAAATTTGATTGACAGATGACCGTTGATCAATGATTGGCCAAATTTAGGTGTACAAGCTGATGTATAACTAACTGGCCTGCATAAGATAAAGGGAAAAAAAACAACACAGATTTTAAGGATATTTTTTTAAAACAGAAATTTTCTAAATTGTGGGTCTGATAAAGAGTACATTTATATACACGTTTAAGCCAGAAGGATTTGACATTTAAATATGATTTCCCTACGACTTTAAAGAAGAATACATACAAAAAGCATGTAAGCCAAAGAAAATATTCAAACAATCAGACTCCACAGGATTGGCTGAATTTAATTATTAGGTAAACATGTAATTGTTGTTCATTTGTTTAATACTGCAAATAATAATGTTTATGATTAACCTACATTTCACAGTATCTCTTTCTTCACTGCATTGCCCCACCACTTTTTGTGATCAAAGATACTAATAAAATTTCACATAGTATTAATTAAGGTTTAATATTCTAAAAAGATTTATCTAACAGGCTATTATGGATATACCAAATGTGAGTACATTATATCATTAAATATGAAATATGATATTAACTAAATAGGGCGTCCAAGAAGTCTTTGGAGATCAGTTAACCTTACACTGACATTCAAATAAGAGCTTCAATTTTAAGTCTTGCATCTCTTTCACAAATTGTGTGCTGTGTCCTTTCAACTGAGAGACATTTATTCAAACATTAATGGGAGGTATATTATACATTTGACTTTGTATAATTGTGAGTATTCTTCTTGTTTAATATTTAGCCTTGGTTCACACTTCTTTTAAGGAGAATTGTGAAAATATTTTATAGTTTATAGTGCAGAGAAGATCTGCCTTCAAATCAAATAACTAAACACTATGTAACTGGGATCTTACCAATCTTGATCGGGCTATCACGTCTCTGACACTGCGAAGCATTACATCCTCCACCTGTATTAGCCACTTCTCTACAGCTCCTTTGGCATCAGACGTTGAGATGTGCTGGATTAACTCAACACGCTCACCTTCGCTGCTGTACATGGCCTGTGCGATGAGCAAAAAAACAGTATGCCAAAGCTTTAAAAGCTTATCCATCACGTTATATTATACATTTTGTGAATATGCCTGCCTTACCTGAATATCCAGATTGGGCAAGAAGTCTAATTTGGAAATTCCCTCAAAGCACTTTTTCAGATGAGGCTGAACGAGTAGTGGATCTTTGGTTTCAGAGAGAATCTCGAGCATTTCATCATTAGATAGAAAGAAGAACCTACAGACAGATCAGCAGCAAAAAAAGACTAACATATAATGTTATAAACCAAACTAGTTCAAAAGGTTTGGCAAAAGGTTTTTTTCTCTTGTACCGTGGAAAAAAGAGCCGTTTCTTCTCCAGGTAAGCATTCAAGCCTTTCATAATGACATCGAGGAGGTTGTTGGAATTTTGCAGCTTTTCAAGCAAACCAGGCAGTGAAGTGGCAGGCAGAATCTATGATGAGGTAATAAGGTAGCTGACAGATCTGTTGTTAGTAATAAAAGGTTTTAAATTCAATTTATTTCTACCTTTGGGTTTTTAACACAGTGCTTCATGATCTCTTTATAATTTCTGTCTACGGTCTGGAAAAGTTTTCCTTCTTCTGGAATCTGCCTCATGATGTCCTGAGATGAGAAGATGGGTGCCAGGTGAAGCCACTGGGCCTGTACCTTCAGCCACTCATCTATGATAACCTGAATCTGAAGCAGGCGCTCCTCCCATTGCTGAAAGAAAAGAACAAAGCATAGAAAAAGCTCCATATGGATCTTAATCAAATTTGTGTTTATTTATTAGGAAAAATTGTCTCTCTAAGCTTACCTTCATTTGATTCTCAAATGGTTTGACGAAAGGGGAGCCCCTCATTGTTTGAGTCTTTACAATCTGGTCATCTAACATTGTCTGAACATCATCCAATGCAGTCAAAATGGAAGTCCCAGTTTCCTTGTAAGGTATATGGTTGAGGAAAACACTGTCCCAGGCTTGCATCATGGTTTGCATGGCCTTCTCCAGAGAAAACTCCTACAATAAAACATGGTTTATTAGATTGGGCTCCATTCAACTCAAGATTTCATGCTAACCTGTAGAATAAACCAAACATTCTTGGGTAGTGTAATTACCTTACTAGCAACCACACTGATAGTCTCAAATTCACTCAGGTAAGGTTCTAAATTTTGCTTTAAAACTTTGCGTAGTGTTGTCCCAGAGTTAGGGCTTAGGTCATGCCCAAATACTTTAGACATCAGGTCCCAGTGACGAGCTCTGATGCCTGGGTTACATAACACAGACACTATAGGGACATTCTCCTGTAGAAGCAAAAATAGATCAATCAAAATTTGAACATAGAAGAAAAAATAAACATTTTGTGGCAGCAGTTTTTAAATACCTTAAACTTCTTGATCTGTTCCACTACAGCAGAGCACAAAGCTACAATTGGGTTTTCCTGCTTTCCTTGATCATCCTCAGCAGACCTTTCTCTTGTTATGCCAGACATCTTTTCCAACTCTTGTGCAGCCTTATTCTGCTTCTGCTGGAAAAACCTCAACAACTTGAAGATCTCCCGATAAAATTCATCCACTTGAGTTTCCACAGTCTCCCCATTTATGTCCAAGAAAGAGCCATCCATCCACCTACTCATAAACAGGGTACAAGGTTATCACTGGGAGTAAAAAAAAAAAAAAAAAAAACACATTTGAGGGATGGATATCAGACCTGCTTTCTGCGTCCTGCCACTTAAGAATCAATCCGAACAGCTTGTGGTATGTATCAATTTCTTCCTTAATAACCTCAACTTCCGGGTAAGATGTTCGGTCCCATTTATAGAAGGTTTCTTCTTTATTAATAAGGGCAATAGCCTCCTCGGCTTTACGGAGATGCTTCTGTATCATTTTTACCACTTTAAAACTCTGTTGAAAAGTATTATTTATAAGTTTAGGTTGTTGGTGTAACCATTTCCAAAGAAAACATTACCATTAATCTGTGCTTTGAAGATCAAAATGTTTATTTGATCCATATACTTTATTGGAGATAGAATAACAGTCTGGAACATAACTGCTGAGTGAGGTTTTCAAATTATAAAAGAAAGGTCTGAATGAATATGGAATATATATTTAGCCCCTTTAAGTCTGATATTTTTAAATGCATCCAGTGTAATTAAAAGCTTCCAGAGGTTGTTTCTTAGATGTTTCTAAGCAACAACTGCAATCTGGCAGTGCTGGATGTAATATTCTCATAATATATCCAGCACTTCTATGAAAATTAGAGAAGATTGCTGGCAACCACTAGCATAATGAAAACCAAAGAGAATACAAGACAGCTTAGGGATGAGGTAGTAGGTAGGTTTATAGCAGGGCTAGGTTAAAATGGAAAGTCTAAATTTAAAAGGGACACTTTTCAGCTCATCATTTGGCACAAGTAATAAGTTACCAAGACCTTCCAGCTAACCTGAAATGACAGGCTAAGGCTAAGAAAGGGAACTTCAATCAAAGTCACAGCCAAGAGACATGCAAAATGGCATATGGAACATTTTTACTCAACGTAATCCTGAATATAAATGCTCCCCAAGTTAAACATCATGCTGCGTGGGATATTTTCTTTACTAGGAATAATAAGTCTACAAGAATCTGTTGAAAGACCTGAAAAATGCATTTTACAGCAAGTATAATCTGGCTTATGCTGCTTTATTTGACCCAAAGAATGAGAAAATTCTTCCTTATAGATGCACGCTTATAAGGACAAACCCAAAAAGACTTGCGGTTGTGTTGTCACTGTGGACCTCAACATAGATAAATCAATTTGAAAATGATTTGAAAACCGTGAATTATTTGAATTCTAGTCTAGTTTACATATATCCATTAAAGTTTAAGGTGTGACATTAAATAAAATGGAAAAAAATTTAATGAATGTAAATAATCTTGGAAGACCCTGTGCAGTTCACCCGTTATGTTTTACCAACAATAGATACTACAGCTGGGGAGATCCCACGCTCGACAGGAAAATACTTCACTCTTCATTAACATTGTAAACAACAGTCAAACAGAAACTATCTGAGGTTTATACAATATTTGGAAATGAGACCGTACCTGCTCCATCATATCAAGGGAAGAGCAGTTTAACTGCTCTACCATGGCTCGTAACTTTTCAAGCTCAACCAATAATTTTTCCCGTTTTGCTATCAGCTCTCCCTCTCTTTTCTGCTTTGCACTCAGCAAGACCTGAAAGATAACACTTTAGTTCAATGCAAAAATAAATAGTGTATAAATACTCCCAATACTTCAGTTTAGAAGACACACCTCATCGTTGAGCTCAAAGGCATCATGTATTTTTTTTTGCCAGAGAAAAACAGCAGAGTTAAGCTCCAAATCCTCTGGTTCAAAGTTGTAGACATCCAAGAGGTACAACAGTCTAGTGCTAGCTTCCTGCAGGTGCATAATGTGACATATACAGACGTAAGAAAACATACCTTTATGGATTTGACAACCACTGGGACGTACTGTCCAATTATTCACCTTAATTTTGTCTTTTAGGTCGGCAACATCCTTTGTCTTGATACGATTAATGTAGTCTATCATGTTAGCAATAGCATCTGTGTCTTCTGGAACTTCTAGAGCTTTCTTGTTGATGGTTTCAAATTCAGAACAGATCCTTTCGGGAAAAAAAACAACATAGATCATGCATAATGTGGAAATTCTATAAAAGACTGATAGGTTTGACTAAGAATGCTTTAGGAGGAGACGTACAGCTGATTTTGCTCTCTGTGTTTGGTGACAAGTGTGTTCAGAAGAATGTCAGCAAACATTTTGGCCTTATTAGATAGGCCTTGATTCAGCTCCTTACAGTCCAAATGAACCATTGGGAAGAAGACTTTTGATGTAAGGTTGGCAATCTCTTTTGACAGCATATGAAACTCCTCCACTCGCTTTAATAGGTAAGGTAGCATACAGTAAGAGGTACACCAACACATGATTTAACCAGACATAAAATGAAATAGGTTCATCTTTGGGAATCTTTACTTTAGTATACTCATCAAAAGAATGCTCCTCATTCAGAAAGGTGTCCACCTGAGTCTGCGCAGTTCCGTTCACAAGCCAGTCATAGTTTTTAACTTCAAAATAAAACACAAAAGTAAGTCATGAACTGTTATAGGTCTGATTTGTATATTAAACCACAATATTTGTGTTTTTCCAAGGTTGAATGATCATAAGACAAAACACTTCAATGATGTTTACGAACAACAGAGTCGGACGAATTTGAGTTAATTGTAGATTTTCTCTGGTTAAAAAGTTTAAATGTCTATGCAAATATCTAAACTAATATTTGGATAAATGTAATTTTTCAGGACAATTAAAGAACCGTAATGTCACTAAAAAGTCCGACTGACCAGGATCATTGTGAATTCAGAACATCAAACCATGTAGATTGATATAATCTACTGTAATTTGATTAAGTTTTTAGGCAAATCTATTTTTTGCAGCTATGTGAACAAGCCAAGTGTCTTATGAAAAAATGTTTTTCATGGTCAGGGAAGGATCTTATGCCAAGCATGATGCTGGGGTAGCACTCTGTTTAGGGTCTGTTTAGCCATCAGTAGCACTGGTGCCTTTCTCATAGTGACTGGAATATTTAAAGGTGGACTAACTCCTAATTGTTTAGCTTCCCACAAACAAACAAACAAACAGTTAGATGGTTGAATCTTGGACATTGTTTGGTTTTCAGCATGTTTGGGTTTCAACACTTGGGTTTGGAATGAATAAAACAGGAGGACTTTGGGCCTATGAGATGTATTTTACCCCAACTCTATCAAAGAGTGAAGAGACTGTGTTTATATTTTAAAGGTAAGGAATATGCCAAGAAAATAACTGAAAATACAGTGAACCATTCCTCTAAAGAAGAGAGGTCAGACACCCAACCACAGTCATGGTAGAGACATGATGGTGCTTACAAAATGTGTTTGGTTTCTTTGTCCATAGAAAAATGCAGGGGTATCTATGTTTTTGAGTATTCTTCTGACTTTGTTTAGATTGGAGAATATGTATACAATAAATCTAAATGTATTCACCAAAAACTTGCCTAGGAAAATCATTAACTTTCCAAGAAAAAAAAGGTTCCAGAAGGCCCCAGATTTAAATTATATGTGTGTTACATCACCATAAGTTTTGTAATGTTTGTCAGGTTCCTCCAAATGTTTGCGCACGGCATTTGTCACAGTGACCCGAGCCCAAGCAAGGATATCATCTGGAATGCTTGCATCTACATATGAGGTTGAGGCCAACCATGCCTGCACGGTCTGTACTCTCTGTGAATAAATAAAAAACAGGCAAATCCTGGCTGAACGCACACGTATACAAACACACAAACAGTAATGAAGCTTGAAGTAGGGAAATCTGACCTGCAGTGTGCTCGCTATGGAGCTGAGGATCTCTAAAACAGAGGCCTCTAAATCTTGGAGGGATGGGTACATTTCCATCTTTTCGTCATCAAACGTCAAATTCATGCAAAAAATTGGCAAGCAGCGGCGATTGTTTGGATCAAATGCGCTGATAAAGGTTTTTACACTTTGCTGAAGCATAGATTTCAACTATAAATTTGGAGAGAAAATATCAGTGTAAGTCCAAATGTGCATAAGGATTTATCTGTAATATTAAATAAACCTCACAAAGTTTCAGTCGAACATCCTTCCCTGTCTAACAGTTTCAAGTGTAAAGTGTTTTTTGTTTCACCTGATTGGACATGAGGGTGGATGCACAGTTGTAAAAAGAATCCAGCTGCTCCACTTTCAGTCCTTCTAATGTCTCAGCATCTGTTAATATGTGAATGATTAGGGGAAACCAGGTATTCATGATTTCAGCTTCTTTTCTTTCACACTCCGTAGCTGCACTCCTCTGCAGATGTTTACAATCCACAGGTTCAAAAGATCTAACAATTAAGGAAATACTGTTATAGGGGTGGTAGACTTCCACCTTAGACTTGGTTATATGTTTTTATAATGTGCTCCTACCTCCATCTATATGGTTCAACTAGTACCATGTGGGAAAATGCTCTGTAGCTAAGAGCCGATATAGTTTGCATCACATGGTGCAGAATGTGAAGTTTTCTTTTTATTATTCTCTGCCTTTTTGTGAAGGTGGAATGGCACAGCTGGAAGCAGTCAAGACTTGAAAAATAAAAAGACAAACTTAAAAAAAGTTTGATGAAGCAAATTATTCTTTGTACAAATATGATGTACATTAAAGACTTACTTTGGTTGGCTGTATGTCTGCACTTCAGAGCTTTCTTCTTGTTTGTCTGGAGTATTGAATGTTGTGTCCACTAAAAAAAGGAACGTTGAATAGGTATATGATCTACTTAAACCCTCAAGAAAATCAGCAACAAACAAAAAAAAAACAAATTCACAGACCTAATCTTTGCTCTCACTATTGTTATCAGGGTTAAAAAGATATATATTACTGGTCCATTCTAAATAACACCCTTAAACAGCCAGTCATCCTAGTAATATATCAGTAATATTGAACAGTTTAAAACCTTAAAAGACATCCATATCTATTGAGGAGCTATAAATTTAAAGATTTCACGTCAGTTGCCAAAAAAAAAAAAAAAAATCCAAATTTGTTTTGGTATAGAAAGTAAAACTGTAATATTGTTCTTAAAGATGTAAGTAAGTAAGACTAGAGCATAATCCATTTGTGAAAACTATTAGTTCGCCTCTTGATCTCATTAAATTTGATCATGTTTTAACCTACAACCTCTAGCATATTTTAGGCAGCTTATATGCAACAAACAAACACAAAATAACCTATAAAAATAATAAATGGGTAAAAAACAATTTATTACAAAAAAACCTACATACATAACAATATATTTGCATGCACATTCTGCGGCATTTACTCTAATTACCCTTAAATAAAATCATGTGCATTCAATATTCTTCAGAGTTCAACTAATTACCTACTGGACTCCATCTGTGTGATATTTGATCTCTCTATTTTAGAATTTTGAAGGTTTAGAGACAATCAGTGAATATAAAAGCATCATGACACCATGATGACACCTAAAGCAAGGTTACGTTAAGAATAACAGGCAAACCTTTCAGGCATAGAAGGTATGGTGCAAACCTATCAAAACACGGTTGTCAGTATCAAGTGTCGACTGATGAAGTAAAGTTTTCATCAGGAAAGTGGTCAACAGACCCACTTCAATATTGAGACTACTCTTTCTCCATTGCATAGGTTTGGGAGCCTATCATAAGGATAGCACTTAGGCTTACACCCTAGAAAATTGACTATTGTGGAACATCTGCCTTACAAAAAGTCCCATTAAAATTCCCGTTTACAGTTGTGCTTGAAAGTTTACAATCCCTTCCATTAAAGACAGAAAAAAATTAGCTGCCAGTAAAATAAATGGAAATGGAAAAAAATTTATAATAAAAAAAAGGATGAAAAATGGTAATCATGTATGTATTTATAACACTGTCTCTTTACATACATAGAATTATATTAATAATATTTAATAATTTAAATATAAGTTATTATATATATTATATATATATATATATATATATATATATATATATATATATATATATATATATATATATATATATATATATATATATATATATATATATATATATATATATATATATATATATATATATATATATTTCTTGATTGATATTAAAAAACAATACAACTGACAACCTTAATATATAGTCAAATTGTGTTATTTTGGGGTAATATATTTTGCATTCATTTGCATAATTACTGAACTTCTGCTGAGCAAACATGTTCCATGTTAAGATTGAAGGGGAGTTTTTTTAACGTTAATATAAAGATTTGTATGCCTCCAAATATTTGTCAGTGTTATCCCTGTTGTAGAAAAATGTTGTGCATGACTTTACATCTTCTTACTTAGTAGAAGAATATTGACCCTCATGTGACCTGACTCTCCTCATCTTGGCTGCCCTGAAGCAGATTTTATTATCCTGGGTTCCTGCAAAAACCTTATCTTGTTCCTTTGAAAATACAGGATGTTAGTTTTATCACCCAGATATCCTTAAGGTTGGGTGGCACCTTTTCACATCTGGTTTTCTCACCCTGCCCTAAAGGCTCCTATACTTCTAAAAACACTTGTCAAGCTTCAGCCCTGGGCACACGTTCAACTGATCCAACAAATTTGAGGCTATAGATGTGCATAGCTGTTAGAGACATATTCTCAAAGACTCTTTAGATACAAGGGCATAATAATGACTTTGATGTACTCAACACAAAGAGACAGCACACTTTTCATTTGTCAGAAATGTTAAGAAGCATATGTCTTACTACTTTGGCTGTACAATTTAGGCTTTGAGGAATATACTCAACTGGACGTACCTGTGAGTTTGACGATCACCCTGTGTAACTCATCGGTGACTTCCCCACAAAGCTGCTGCAGAAGTTTGTTCATCTTGGGGCCCTCTTTCAGATGGGGTGGGATTTGGGCAATCATAGAGTCTAACCACTGTTGCTGGATCGGAGCATAGGGTTGACTTTCCACACAGGGCTTCATGCAGGTATAATTCCTCTTAAGTGTGAAGCAAAAGAGAAGGGATACGAATAAAAGTCTCGGAACATTTCAATTTAAAAATCATTAAAAAAAATTCTTGCAAAGTAGCTGCAAAAATTAGTTTAAGTTAATAAATTTGCAGTATATCTTCTTTTTACTGTGATTTGTGTTTGAGATGTGCAGATACGGTGGGAAACATAAGTATTTCCTCCCCTGCTGATTTTCAAATATTTCTCAAACAAATGCAGGATGTCTAAGGAGCTGGACCCGACTCTTGTCCTATCTCTTTTCACGAGCTTGATTCTCTGAATCATGTTTGTAAGGGAACATGAGACATCCTTTAACATGTGCCTTGAATAACATAAAGGGATACAAGATTTCAAACCATCACTGTATGGAATGAAGACATGGCTCCTGATGGTTGATTTATATCTAACATTGGCACATAAAATACTTATTGTACTAAATAACATGGAAACCAGATTTTTTATTTTACATAATAATTTTTGTTCTATCTTCACGTCTAAAAATCACAGCTTAAAAAATGAGAACTTTACATACATGCAGTAGGTGGGAAACAAAAGATCCTAACTAAATTAACATCAATCTTGGATAATGTTTCCCCACTCCATGCATGAAGCTGTTGCTGAACTGCAGAGCTCCTTCAGTGACAGACTGCTGCACCCTAAATGCACCAGGGAGTGTTATCAGAGATCCTTCCTCCCTGCAGCTGTAAGACTCTATAACCACCACCTTTTTCAATAACTTCAATAAGTTGTTACATTCATGCTGGTTTTTCACAGTTTCTACCTTAGTCAGTTAAATAACACGGTGCTGTCATTTGTGCATATCTCTGATTTTGCTGCTACTTTTTAAATATCCATTTCTATGCAAATGTATTCTCCAGGTGCACAATATTTATATTGTTAAAACACCTTACAGTATAGTGTTTTATTTGTTTATTTTTTAACTCTTCACTATAATGTTATTCTTAGACACTTGTCTAAAGTCCATATTTATGTAAACATTTTTTTTTTCTATAATGTTGTTGCTGTAAACACCAGAATTCCCCCATTGTGGGACAATAAATGGATTTTCTTTTCTCTTTTATTTTCTAATTATACTGACTGAGGCTGAAATCTTGAATTCTGGTGGATAGCTGTCCAAAGACACCCTCTCTTTGGCCTTTCTGTGATGCTTCATGGCTCTGGAGACCCTGCAGTAAATCAATGCAAATAGTCATATTAAAGGGAACTAAGAGGCCAAACGATATAGTTCACAACTACTGCTACAATGAAAGTGTAAATACGGAAAACAAAACAAAACTTACATTGTCCTATGAAAGTTATTTTCTCTCATTTTGATGCTGCCCTTCAGCTCCTTGTAAGCCGCTGTCATCTCCTTCATTTCTTCTTTCAGTTCATTTTGTGCAACGATGGAGCGCTGCAAAGAGTGTCCTACTATTTTTACCATCGGAGGAACGTCCTCCACAGCTTCAGAAGATTCCCCAGAGGTAGCCATTTATGAAAACGGCCCGCTAAGGCAGAGACGCTCAACACTCAAACATTGTCATAAAAAGGAAAAAAAAAAAGAAAGAAAAACAACCTACACGTAAATTTACCTCCGTAACTTTTTCTTAAATATATGAACCCAAAGAAAGGGGTTTGTAGCCTAATAATAGCGTCCCGAAAGCAGCCGTTGTTAGGGAGTTGTCAGTGCCGTTCCCATGGCAACGGTAAACTGAAGGGAAGGGTTGTTGGGAGAGGGTAGTACGGAAGAGGATTAGGGCCACTGGAAAAAAAAAAAAAAAGTAAACTGATTTTTAAATTTTATTTCAGTTTAACATGGGAAAAAAGTCAGAATTCTGAGATTAAAGTCAGAATTCTGACTTTTTTCTCAGAATTCTGAGATTAAAGTCAGAATTCTGACTTTTTTTCTCAGAATTCTGACTTTAATCTCAGAATTCTGACTTTAATCTCAGAATTCTGACTTTTTTTCTCAGAATTCTGACTTTTTTTATTGTCAGAATTCAGTCAGAATTCAGAGAAAAAAGTCAGAATTCTGAGAAAAAAGTCAGAATTCTGACTTTAATCTCAGAATTCTGAGAAAAAAGTCAGAATTCTGAGATCAAAGTCAGAATTCTGAGAAAAAAGTCAGAATTCTGAGATTAAAGTCGGAATTCTGAGAAAAAAGTCAGAATTCTGACATTAAAGTCAGAATTCTGACTTTTTTCCCATACTATACTGAAATAAAATTAAAAAAAATCAGTTAACTTAGTGTAGTGTACACCTAAATAGTTTTCAAAATTAAAATATCGGATAGATTTCAGACCATTTATAATAATTAGATTAATAAGTATGCTATTGAATTAAATATTTACGTTATTTTAATCCAACCCTTTCTCTATATTATTATTATTATTATTATTATTATTATACGAAAATATTTATGTTTACATATTCTTATTGTTTTTAGTGACCTGGTTAAAATGTGATTTTTTTTTTTGTGCTGTAGTGCAGTAGGTTTAGGTTAACTGTAGAGGACAGTTAATTTGAATAGTTTTTTATAGAGGTATTGAGGACCAGTAAAATTTTATTTTATTAAATTTGTGCACAACAATTCTCTGTTTTACGGCGATTCTTTTGTATATTTGATTTTTTTCGATAGATGGCGCCAGTCTGCCGGAAATAACAAAGGAAAAACGACGAAGAAGACGACATAAGCTCCGTTAGCTTCTTTGCTACTATTTGGAAGTAGCAATACAATTTCAGGTACTGTGAAAAGAAAACATACTTTTTGTTGCACGTATAAATATTTATATAAATACGCTTGAGCTGGATGTGACTTGTGTAAGACAGACTTACGTTAAAATATGTGTATGTAGACCGAACTGTTCTGTGTTTTGATTCGTGCTGAAGGAAGCTAGGCTTCAGAGTTGTGTTTTTTGTCGAAGGCCCAAACTGTTGTCATTCTAAGTTTCATTTTAATGTGTTTTTTTAGTACGAAGAGCTAGCTATTAGTAAGCCGAAATGTTTTATGACTGATTCTGAAACCATCCAGCCAGTTGGTAACACTGCCTCCCTGTCCTTTTTCAGGATATAATCATGAGTTATGCAGATAAGCCAGAGGATATAACAAAGGATGAGTGGATGGATAAACTCAACAAAGTCCATATTCAGAGAACTGATATGAATAGGCTGATAATGAACTACCTGGTCACAGGTGAGGTACCAGTCTTATTATCAAATGCACATAAAATAAATATTATATTTTTAAATATTTTCAGTTTGTTGGTATAAACATTAAACTATCAATCTGTATTTTACAGAAGGATTCAAAGAGGCAGCAGAAAAGTTCAGAATGGAGTCTGGAATAGAACCCAGCGTGGACCTGGACTCCTTAGATGAACGGATTAAGATTAGAGAGTTAATATTAAAAGGTCAAATCCAGGATGCCATTGCTCTTATCAATAGTCTGCACCCGGAACTGCTAGACACAAACCGTTATCTATACTTTCACTTACAGGTAATGTAAATCACAAAGCTACTATCCAAGTATTTTGTCTCTAGTCTGCTATTTCTACTACATGACTCCTTCCTTTTAGTTAATTCAGCATTTTGCACCTATGTTTTTGCAACATGCAGCAGCAGCATCTAATTGAGCTGATTCGTCTTCGGGAGACAGAGGCTGCCCTTGAATTTGCCCAGTCTCAGTTAGCAGAGCAGGGAGAGGAGAGCCGAGAATGTCTGACTGAGATGGAGAGGACACTGGCTTTGTTGGCGTTTGACAACCCAGAAGAGTCTCCCTTTGGAGATCTGCTCAATATTATGCAGAGGCAAAAGGTATAATCAACACACATTATAATCGGCCATGTCATACATCACTAATCACGTTTTTTCCTGTGTTTAAATTGCTATTTTACTTGAAAGTGTCATTTACAGTTTTTTTAAGGTCTTATCTTCCTTGTTGCTTTCATGGTAAAATCATCTGGTTCTTTTTTTTTTTTCTTTACAAAAATATTCCTTAAAGCTTTATACATAGAAGTTATTATAAAATGACAAATCACAAGACACCCTAAAATCACACTAAGAGCGTTCTTGTACATTTATTGTTTTTATTATCAAATTTAAGGCAAAAAACACAGCACAGATAAGGTATTTACGAGCATAGTTAATTGTATGTGTATGGATAAAAGTATATATAAGAATAACAATTTAAAATTACACGGGCCTGAACAATATTGCACTCTGTCAATTGGTCAAATATGCCTTCAAAATATTAACAGGTTTAATATTCCAAATAATTTTTTCTCTATGAGTGGGCAACATGCATTTTGTTTAAGTCTTAAGTTTAAGTTTTATTTCAAAAGTGAACGTCCCCAGTGTAATGTTGAATGCATCGCATTCATATGAAAGCATTAAGTGTGTTTACTTTCTCTTCCAGGTCTGGAGTGAGGTTAACCAGTGTGTATTAGACTACGAAAACAGAGAATCTACTCCAAAGCTGGCCAAGCTGCTGAAACTACTGCTGTGGGCTCAGAACGAACTTGACCAAAAGAAAGTCAAGTATCCCAAAATGACTGACCTCAGTAAGGGAACAATCGAAGATCCCAAATAAAGACTCAGCATAAATAAATATCATATCCTTACAGAATGGACACAATTCTTAACCTATTTATAACCTAGGAAGCGGAATCAGTTATAGTACAACCTTTTCTTTTTGTAAGGGTTGCCTTTTGATACTTTATTAATTCTAAACTGGACTGATTACAGTTTAAGGTTACTTTGTATTAAATAACAACCAAACTGGTTATCTTATTTTTAATTTTAATTTGCATATTTGTCTATGTAAAGCCAAAATGTTTCATTTACTCTAGTTTTTCTGTCTGTTGGCAGGGAATGTTGGTAGTGGAGGTTGTAAATAAAGCCTAAATTAGGCTGCTTGTCAGTGTGTGTGCATGTGTGCCCACTTCAAGGATGCAGGGATTCATCAGGATAAAGTGTTGGCTTAATGTGCAGTGCTTCAAATATGTATATTGTTTTGTTTTAAGGAACACATTTCAACCTCTGGGATTTCATCTGGTACTTACATGTGAAAAGAACAGTCAGAATTCATTACCTGTGAGATGTTTAAGGCTACTGCGATTCTGAAAGTAAACCTTATTTCGTCACCACATAATATTTAGACACTCACTAGAAATGTTGGAAAAATACAAAAGCAAATAAAAACACCTAAGCTCTAAGTTATGATAGTTATTTCATTTGAATTGAAATTACTGGAGTATTAATATTTTTTCATAGCATACTGTGACTATGTAAGCCTGAGGAACATGATGTTTTAAGAGGTGAGTAAATGCAAACATGGAGACACTATAATGCTATTACATTTAAATGATTTGCATTTTGAGCGACTTAGCTAAATTTTTGTTGTGCTCTTTTCCTGCTATATTATTTTGCAATAAAAAAATATTTCTCGAACCTGACTGAAGTTTCATGAAATCTGTTTCTGTACCTTGAAATTTCACATCCAGTTTATGTTTCAAAGGAGTAATCTGCGGTTGGTGGGTGTGTTGGCCTATTGGTTAGAGCAGTGAACTTTTGCTCTGAGAAGGTTGCACATACACGGTACAATCTCCACAGCCTTCACTCTAGGCCCCTGAGCAAGATCCTTAAAACCTGATTGGCCCTCAGGCACCGCACAGTGGCAGTCCACTGCTCCCTAAGGGGATCGTTCAAATGCAGAGGTGAATTTCTCCATTGTGAGATCAATGAAGTTCAATTATTTTGTAAATGGGGTTAGTCGGATGTAAAACTGGTAATACTTTCTTAAACTGCTAAAAAGCCTCTTTTTACAAACTTTGTTGAATGCATGGTTAGTGAAAAGAGCAAGAACTCAGCTGTAATTTGGCCACTAGATCCTACTCATTCCCTTCTTGTATAGAGCTTTACTATTGCATCTCATACTAGATGACTCAAGCTAGTAAGTAGCTCAAGCTAGTAAGCAGCTTTGTCACATAAAATCCAACACTTGGCCACTTTAACTCAGGAGTCACATAAATATTTTTGTTTATTGCTTCTAAACATTCTTGCAATTCAAAGGGCCATAGAAGGTATGTTCATATCTGGCCCAGATTGCCGCATCAGCTGCTGGGCTGTGGACGGGACAGTGCAAGGAGGGACAGCCAGAAAATGAGAAAAGTGGCCAAGCAATAACCAATGTGGCCAAAAGTGGATAGGCACCAGAACCTAAGGGTCAAGTCTTTTACTTTTTAACAGCACTAGCAGCTCATTTTTTTCAACAGTAGGCTGACAGAAAAGCAGGTATGACAGAGGGGGAGAGACATGCAACAAGGGACACACAAGGTCAGATTCGAACCCGGGTCGCTCGCGTTGAGGACTGAGGCCTCCATATGTGGGCTGTGCGCGCTAACCACTGCTCCACCTGCACACCCCATCAAGCCAAAGTTAAGACAAACTATACTTTCCTACAGCCTTTGCTAACAAATAGATGCATATATTTAAACATACGTGCTTTCTAGATATGTCCTTACTTACTTACTTTTATCAACAATCATTCTGGATAAAATTGTGTTTACTTCACTGAAGACTCCTAGATGACTTGCAGAGACACATCATTTTCTCTTTACCCCATATAACACAA